TTCATATTCCCTTCAAATACACAGAGGGGCGTTGCCCTAACACAGATATGTCACCCCACACGTTAAATTTCGGACTGTACTTTGGGCGCTGATACAAAGGTTTTTCAGTTTGTTTGGTCCAGAATTTCAGTGTATTAGGAAACAGGCACACAGAAATTTCATCTGAGAAAATCACATTGTCCCAGTTAAAATTTCTATGCTGTAAGCACCAGTTCAACCTTCGCTCCTTTTGTTCAGGTTTCATGATCGGTGATGGAATTCCTCGACTTTTTTACCAACCCATTGCATGCAGCTCAGTTCTAATTGTCTCCTTACAGACAGCCACAGTTCCTCTATCAATCATGTCCAGCCTTAAGTTTTCTAAACTCCTCCGTTTGTTTTTAGAAACAAGAATACCAAGCCGCCTCCTGTCACCGACAGTCAATTTTCTGGGCCTACCTGCGCCTCCCTGGTGCACAATGCCATATCCATTTGCAATATTTTTCAAAACACGATAAACAGTGGACAAAGGGATGCCTGTTCTACTTGAAATCACTTTAGCTGATCTGATGTCCTTGTCATAATACTCTAAAATCAACTTCCTCTTCTCTAAATCATCCATACTGAGGATCACTGAAAATGTCGTCTGCTAGCAAGTAAACAAAGGGGGATAACTCTTCACAAACTAATGAAAAAGGATTAACGGAGTTGTCTCTCTTGAATGAAACCAAACACTTGATAGCTGGTCAAGGTTATTTATGCTCGAAATCCAATTAAACATATTCCTAAAATTCTCAATAAGTTCTGGTCATACTATATGTACTGTCACTAACGGGGTCTTAGCACTACACTCACGTGCAAAAGAAACGTCCCCAAGTATTTTTCAACTACCAAACAACACAAGCACAAACACGAATAGATATGAACGTTTAATATGCATAACGAAGGTGTGTGTAAAACATGTCTGACATAAAGAAAGAGAACGTGGTAAACCTAACATTGGTACAGCAGAGACCATATATGGTCTTTGGGTACAGGGAATGTTGTCACATGGGGGTCGATTGTCCAGGTTTCGAGCGCAAGCCAAAACAACAAATGACAAAACAGAGGTTGAAATGGGAAGGCAGATCGTCAATACCGCGCATGCCCACCCCTTACATCGGTGCACGTCAGAACACGTCGTCGGGCCGAGTGTGTAAGTCTCTTGATCACGTACAGCTCGTTCAGCTTGACCTGATCAAGTGAATACTAATGCATTGCATGACCGTGTCACAACTGGTTGGGTCTATTATTGTGAAGGGGTGCATTGGTTGTCAACATGTCCGAACAGTCGAGACAAGGTTGCCGTTTGACACCTCAGTGTCGAGAAATCGTCAGCAATGTCCTAACTTTCTTTAAAAAAGAAACTTAAGATGGTTTATTGTTTCCGATTTGAGCTTTTAGGCAGCGAGCAGCAACATGAATAACATTATTTGCTCCCCTATTTAATGAAGTTAACTCGACCTGCCGTTTGTGCCATTTGACCTCCCGGGTCATGCATATGTAGAGTAGCTCAGGTCAAGCTGAACAAGCTGTTGTGGAGTAGTGACTTCCGGTCGACCGCTCCTCGGCCTGTCTGCTGTCCGGCCAGCTTGTCTGTAACGTGTGACCAATGTCCCAATCGTTCTTTTCTTCCAACATGGTCGTGCGTTGCCCCCCAGCTGCAGCATGCCAATCGGTCTTTCTCTCTTTTCTGCTGTTAATCGAGGCATGTTCTGCTGGTTTTTCAGATGATTGTGATTGCAAAGAACAGTTTCCAACGTGTTTTATAACCGATCTCCATGCACGTGCAGGAAATTTCACTCAATAAAGTCATTTTTCCCGCTTCTGGCACGCAACACGTGCATTTCCTTGGGGTGTCATACATTTGTGTGTTTGGGCAATGTGTTCCGAACAGTTTTTCATGTTTTGGCCATATCCAGCAAATATAATATAATTTAAAGTTTGGGGACGTTTCTTTTGCTCGTGAGTGTATATAAAGGGAGACCCCGTTAGTGATTTGATGGCAGTTTTCAGCGTTATAAGCCCCTGTGCCTGGCATTACACCCAGTCCCTCTTCACGTCAACACTGCAGGTCCTATATGTTGGTTGGTTGGTTTGTTGTTTAACGCCGCACTCCGCAATATTCTAGCTATATGGCGGCGTTCTGTAAATAATCGAGTCTGGACCAAACAATCCAGTGATCAACATCATTAACATCGATCTACATGATTTGGGGATACGATGACATATGTGTCAACCAAGCCAGTGAGCCTGACCACCCGATCCCATTAGTCGTCTCTTACAACAAACACCCATGTGTTATTGAGCCCGGATCCACAAGGGCTTGTAACGCTAAAAACTGCCATCAATGTATGTACTGTCACTAACGGGGTCTCCTTTTATATAGTGCTAAGACCCCGTTAGTGACAAACATACATTGATGGCAGTTTTTAGCGTAAGGAGCCCCTGTGCTCGGATCTTCAGGGGTTCCCTATGTGTGGTATATGTCAAGTGAAATACTCAATAACTGTAATTTGACAATCAATGTGAAAAATGTACACACACACGGAAACGCGTCAGTATCCTAAACAAAAGGAAGCAAAGTCTCTTACAAACTGATGCCATCTTATCCGATATGTCTGTAAAGTAATGCTGATGGATACCACCGTATATGTACAGCATCTGAATCTCCCATCTCACTGGGCTCCTTTTCAATTTAAATGGGTTATTTGTTACTATCAATATTGTTATTGTTACTGGCCGATCGAATTATGATTCTATTTCTAAACACACAAGGTATTTTGAATACTGAAATTGATTTCCATCAGCATATATATATCACAATCAATATTCATTTATTCTTGCCATTGAGTGCACGTTTGGACAGACATAGATGAATGACATTTCGCCACTTTGGCACAACATGAATAATTGATGACAGTGACCAAACACTTGTTTTGAATTTGTATTTTCCTATAATGCAATAATTCAAAAGCAGCACACAATAACTTATCATGATAATGAAATATTTAATGAAATAACTATGCATCAATGGAATTAACTTCAATTTTATACAGAAGAACTAGTTGCCATCTGGACAAACCATAGACTACGCTCAGTCAATGAATATATATAATGTTGATAGTAACAAAGTAATATACCCATTTGAATTGAAAAGGAGCCCCAGTGAGTTGGGTGATCCTGAACCTGAGGAAATCTAGACTTGCTTCATCCAGAGACCATATAATAGATATGTGGTCTCTGCTTCATCCAGGTCTTTAACATTGTAGGGAGGGCAAGTGGGGGAAATAATGTGGTTCATGCCGGTACTGTGAGACAGACTAGACAAACTGGTCCTCTTACCTAAAACTGCAATCCAAAAATTAGATGGGTTGCTTTCATGTCAACAGTGCAGGCAGAAAGAGCAAGATTTCAGGTTTGGTAGTCCCACGCGACCTCTTGCCCCTGTCATGTTACAACATAACCCATGGGGATTGGCTGAAAACTGTTGCTATGGAACCAATGGCACCAGTGCCTTGAGCAGGATATTGGGTTTCTTGTGTAAGAGACTGGGGCAAAATATCCAGCCTTTACATGAATATCAAAACATAGAATACGTAAGTGGAGGACTTATTATACGGTGTGAGTTCAAGGCAAGAGGGAATGGGTATGGTTTTACGCGGATTTTAGCGATATGCCAGCAATATCACGGCTACCAATGGACTCAGTATATAGAAGGACTCAGGACTTCGATAGTATGTGTAGCTGTAGTTTATACTGAAGGAGTCGTTGTCGGCACAGGCGTACAGGTGAGTGCCCCAGGTACGTTTCTGTATACATGCAGTATCCAGTGTTCAACAGCTTGAACATCGATCTATGCAAATGGGATACGATGACATGTGTCAACCAAGTCAGCAAGCCTGACCACCTGATACAGTTACTCGCCTCTTATGGTTACAAACGCGTTTTGCTGAAGATCTATATTCTAACCCGGATCTTCCCGGGTTTATATTGGCATGTAATATCTGGAATTTTGAGGGAGGTTTTCATGAAGTTTTATGAGCCGTTTTGAATTTTCGGTGGGAGAATAAGTTACGGTTTATAGTCACACCGGCAATACTTCAGCCTGACCGTGACTAAAACAAGTCATATATCGATCATATATATAAAGTTTGATTGTAAATTCTGTCGACAAAGGACGTGTTTGAATAATCAAAATACAGTGGCGGATCCAGAAGGGGTGTGTGTGTGTGTGTGTTCAGGTCGAACCCCCAACCCCCTTATGAAAATAACTTAAGACCACATTGAAGGTTTATTTTTGCGTTTGCGGAGCCAGTGGGGGTTCAACCCACTGACAGGCCCCCCACCCCCCCCTTTTTTTTCAAAATTCCTGGATCCACCCATGAAATTCATATTTAAATTACAAGGTGTTATATTTGAACGGCGTTACATTTGAGCCGGTAAATTGTCTCTGTTAGACGGTTACGAAATAACCGTGATCACCACTGACAGAGTAACAGTTGTACAATATATAGTCTCCCTGTTATATGACGAACAAACTATGAAAGATAACTAGTTTCTCAGTTGTCACTAGACATGTGATGAATGCTGATCTTGTGACAAGGGTTGTCCTTTTTAAGTCTTCCGGACTAGGAATTTTTTGGAGACAGAAGTGAGCGGACACGTCAAAAGTTCGATAACGAAAGCACTCGGGAACATTCGGGGAATTTTTCTAGACTTTATGTAAGTTTCCTAAGACGGTGTCTAGTTATAGCTTTACGCGTATTTTCAGTACAAGAGTCTATGACTTATCTTGTTCATGTGTTAAACGATGAAACAAGATAACGAAACGGAAAGAAACCACAAAATATCATATGACTGTAATTTTATATTACTTCTGTCGATACGGTCTAACTAGGGGATTCCCCTTTGGAAAAGGATGGCCGACATTGGAGAAAATTGACCAATCAGAGTAACTATTTAAGTCACGTGGTAGGATTTCCCCGGAAATGCGCTGTATGTATGTTGACTGCTGAGCCAAACCCTGACAGCTTTCGGTTTGCACTTAAGCGTATTTTGCTTCATTCAACTTATAAAACCGCAGACAAAGGTAATACATAACATTTGTTGTCCATACCATATATTCAAGGTCCATAAGGAACTATGGTTGTATCCCATTTGTGTGTAATTATGCCTTCCTTCGTGTGTGAAACGACAGACATCGGTCGAAGCTGAGATACTAAAATTAGTAATAATAGATTGGTCTCTCGTCCAAGGTACTACACATTCATGTTCGTGGTGAAACATGTTTTGCCACGTAATTCAAGACAATAAGACTTCGTTTGTCATTACATCTCTGGATCTCTTCAATCTGACTGTTGTAACACCATCCTCTTTCGTGAATTTAAAAATAATAATTTGACAATTATCTTCAATTTTTGCTGTTGAGACTGGCCTGTTTACATACTTCTACCATAGAAGGGCTGTGGGGTAACCTCGTGGTTAAAGCCTTCGCTCGTCACGCTGAAGACACGGATTCGATTCCATACATGCACAATGTGTCTGGTGTCCCCATCGTGATATTGCTCGAATATTGCTAAAATCGATCATTTCGATGGAAAAAAACTAAACTCATTCACTCACTCTGCCATACAATACCCAATCTTAGATCTCTGAAGGGTGAAAACAAATGAGGGTTCTGAAGAGAACACAGATATCTAGTAATGGAAAAAAGCACCAGGATATACACAATTATTATCAGAACACATATCGGAACACATGATATGTATGTGAGGCTCTAGTAGTTTTACTGTCCATTGGGGCCCGTCCATTGACGACAGGGTTTTATCTGCAGATTTATTGATTGTTCTCGTCATGATATGGCTGAAATATTGCAGATGTGACACTAAAATATTAACTCATTTAATTACTCATCATCATCATTTTTATTATGTTTGCAGTTGCTATAGCCACTGAAGGACAACAGGATCCCATGGGAGTTGGCCAGGAGATCACAGACATCATGTCAGGAAAAGGAGAACCGGAAGTATCCCACAATGCAATGTGGTTCTCGGCTGACGGTGGAGCAGGAACGAGACTGGTACAAGGAAAAGCTGCTGCACATGAAGGTGGTGTTTCGGGAGATGCAGCACAGCCTGCAGTCTCAGAAGATACGGAAGGAAGGCATTGAGACTGTGTCCATCTTACTGAAGGAGTCACGACAACAGATAACGACTTTGGAAAATCAAAAACGAGCACTGGAGACGGCTGTGAGAAATCTCCAGAACAGGCTGGCCAATCATGGGCTGTCAAATAGTGTGACCTTTGAAGAAAATGAACTCTTTATTCCTGGTACATCCAAACAAATATTAGACAATTTAGCCAAAGAAAATGCAAGGTTACGGAATCTGCTTGGCATGTCTGGTGGATTTGAGGATGTGACCAAATTACATGAGGTATGGTTTGTTGCAGTGATAGTGATATGTATTGTTTGGTGCAGTTTTGTATATACTATACCCTCATGAAATGAAATCATTAATACTTCATCATAATTTGAAACATGGAGACCATGTATTGCATCTATAGTTGAATTGAAAGTCACAAAGCTTGTTGTCTATCTCACAGTCCCTGAACCATATTATTTTACCTTCTGCCCAGCCCTCCCTGCAATTCTCAAGGCTAAAACATGTTAAATGAAGCACATGCGACACATGTGGTCTCACCTGAGGCAAGTGAGTTTGTTCAAAATTGTCTTTGTTCACCCAGCAGGAAAATGGGTACCTGGTGGAAAAAAGTCATATGACTATAACCTTCTAGCGCCTGTCAGGCAGCTTGGGTTATCCGGGGTAATAATGTGCTGTGCCTTGATTGTTAGCGCTATGAACATACCTAGTGTGGAGTTTGGCGCTATATAAATGGACACATTATTATTATTATTAAGTCTCCCATCTCACTGGGACTACTTTTCAATTTAAATGGATTTATTTGTTACTATCAAAATTATATATATATAATCAGAGGCTAGGCGTTAGTAAATAAAGGTTGTTGAGAATTCTTTTGTACACCAATTGTGCATTCGTATCTCAAGTGTGTTTTCCAATGATAATAACATCAATCATTGGCTAGTCTTTCAAAATTCAGTCGTTTACAGACCACCATATAACTGGAATTTTAATGACTAATTATCAGTGCTGGTTATTATTCACAATATGCAGATCAATAATCGGAGCTCAGTAATCGGTCCATAATCAATTGAAATAGTGAACCCCACCCAAAACTCATGTGGGCAGTAAAAGGACACAATCATAATGAAACAGGCACCGATTTGAGACATGCAGGAACTGGAATCAGGAAACTGCTTCAGTTGTTTATGCCTTGATTTAAGTTTATGTTTAATTTATTAGGAATATCAATTGGTCTCCAAAGCTCATTGATTATCGCTGACACAAGCAAGAACGATCAATTGACTGATTATTCAATCGGTCACTCCAGCACTAATTGGGACTTCATTACAGATACTTCTGACCTTCTAGAATGATACGTTTTTTTGTCAAGCATTAATTATTTTGAAAATGAGCTTCACAAGTAGAGGTAAAAAATAACATGGATGCCAAGGATTTATATCTTGATTGTGGTCACTATCTTGAGAGCAAGAATTTTGAAGAATGTCCTATGTTATGTAGGCACTTGGTGTGAAATCCTAGATAAATCGCTGAATGCTATGTTGTTTCTCAGTTACTTTTTTGTCTATTTCAGACAATAGAGAGAGTCCAAGGGGTCAGCTCGAGTCTGCAAGTTGAGAAAGACAACTTGATTCAGAAGGTCGCTGACCTTGAAAACATGTTACAGTCTTCCGACAGTGAAAAAGACAAACTGATCTGTCAACTCCGTGAGCACATCGACAAGCTTCAGTCCAACTCCCGACCCAGGACGTCCTTTGCCAGTCCATGTCTGGAGAGGTGTCCGGTCTCCGACATAAGCTCAAGGACTTCGTGCTGCAGTGTCAGCAGCTGGAGATGAAGCTGGAGGATGCTGAGCAGAGCAAGGTGACCTTCACCCAACAGGAAGTGCCGGTCACAGAGGTCAAATCTAATCAAGTGAGTGATGCGGCTTATTTTGTTCTCACGCTCAACCATAGCTATTTCCAACTAGCCAAACTCATCATCAATTTGCAACTGATCAAGTACCATAAAAAATATCCTATGTTAAATATCATGGCGAGGCCACTTCTTTCACGTACAATTTCTAGGAAATGCAAAAAGTTGATCAACTGATTTTATGCAGTGAATAGATGCCAGGTAATTTACCATAACTTATATGAGTTACTTACGTCCAAATAGGCATTAAAAATTGTCCAATGACACAATGATGAGTGATTAGACAGTGTAGCCTTTTCAGTTTGTGAAGTTTACTATCTTTACACATCTGTATTTAGTGATCAAATACAAGCATAACCTTTACATACAGTCTATGGCAAAGAATAATGAACAGAAAGGTTAAATCTCTCTTATTGAAAATGTATCTTTTGTGAGCATATGCAAGAATGACCTGTTTTGGGTTCTTTTTTCAGAAGTCTGAAGATACACCTGATGGCAATATTCTAGTAGAAGAGAACACACGATTGAAAGAAGAACTAAAAACTGTAAGTTTACATTTCTCATTATTTGAGAAATCTTAACATTCATGGTTTAAGACACCACGCGCTCTCAATATAAAAATAAAAATAAAGATTTTCTACCGATATGGGACCGTTCCTAATTTATGGCTAGGGGGGTTGATGATGATTTTTATGGAGAAGCATGTACAATGTGAATGACCCCCCTAAAAGTTATGTACAAAATAAGTGACAAAAAAAACCCACCCAACCCACCCCAACCCACACACACATGTCATGTACAAAATCAATGCCCCCCTCCCATTATTTCTAAGCATAATTTTAAACATACTTTTATGTACAAATTGATGACCCCCCCTAGCTCTCCAGAACAAAATGGGTAAACCCCCCTTAAAATCATCATCACACCCGCTAGCCATCATTATGAACGGTCCCTAAAAGAGGTTCCTTTTAGTTAGTAATTTTTTAAGCTTGAGCTAATTGGAGGAATCCATCTTAAGAGCTGTTTGTAATGTGGTTGTTACAGTTGAAGGAGATGAACCGACGGTGGCAGGATTACAACAACGACCGTGAACGCTACACCCAGGAGCTCAACAGCAACTACCGTGAGCTCCAGCAGCGTTACAAGTCCAGCCAAGAGAGTCGCATCACGGAGGAGAGGGAACGTCAGCTCAACAATCTCCTCGTCACTGCCAAGGAGAAACTGGAGAAGATGGAGAATGATAAGAAACAGGTAGCTTTTAAGTATGATGAGAGTTTATTATTTATTGTTTGTAATGATGAGTTGCTCTAAATAGTCATGATACTAGTTCCCATTGTAGTATACAGGTTACCCAACTTGAGAAGGTCCGGGTTAGAATTGATCTACAGTAACCCATGCTTGTCGTAAAAGGCGACTAACGGGATGAGATGGTCAGGCTTGCTGACTTGGTTGACACATGTCATCGTATCCCAATTGTGTAGTTCGATGCTGGATGCTCATGCTGTTGGTCACTGGATTGTCTGGCCCAGACTCGATTATTTACAGACCGCAAGCATATAGCTGGAATATTGCTGAGTGCAGCGTAAACTAAACTCACTCACTCACTCACTATTACAGGATACCCAGTAGTCATACTTGTTGGAAGCTCCTAATGACGATGCACAACTAAATGTCAGATTGAAAGGTTACAAATTAGCAGTAGAAATTAATCAACTTTTATTGTTTGATTTAAATTATGTAGAAATGCCAAATATTATTGCTATTCATTTCATTGATATGCAAGACATGACATCCACAGAATTGCATAGATTGATGCTCATGATGTCAATCACTGGATTGTCTGGTCCGGACTTGGTTATTTACAGACCACTGCCATAAAGCTGGAATAATGCTGAGTGCGGCATTAAACAACAAACAAACAAAAGCATGCCTTTTTTACGTACATCTGTTTAATTTTGAATTTTTCTTTAAAAACATTCTTGATATTTATTATGGTGATATGGTATCAAGAAACCAGTGTGAACCCATTAGACATGCTTTAGCTGGCAATCGCCAGTGGTTTACCACAGACTAATATTATCATGATCAAATATACCCGAAACACTATTGAGGTCAAATGACTATTTTAACTGTAGCCATGATTGTTGGTTTGTTTGTTGCACGTCACACTCAGCAATATTCCAGCTGTATGACGTCAGTTTGTAAATAAACTAGTCTGGACCACACAATCCAGTGATTTAAAGCATGAGCATTGATTTGCATAATTGTGATATGATGACATGTGTCAACCAAGTCAGCGAGTCTTGACCACCTGATCCCATTAGTCGTCCCTTATGACAAGCATAAGATGCTGAAGACTAATTGTAACCCGGATCTTCTCGAGTTGTGGTCATGGTAACAAACGGATGTCATCCAAGACCAATAGAGTCTTAATTCCAAGTTGCTCACTTCAGCTGTTGGAGAAGCTGGAAACATCAGAGGCAACCATTGGCAGCCAGGTGATGGAGATACAACAGCTGAGGATGATGTCAGGAGACGGAGACCAGGAGACCATCGCGGCACTGAAGGCACAGATACAGGTGTGTACCGAGGACTTCGAGACGGAGAGACAGGACCGCGCCAAGGCTCAAGCTAAAGCTCACCTGTTGCAGGAGGAGGTGAACAACCTACGGGTCGAGGTAGGTGACGCCATCTGGTTAACCGGATGTTTTGCATGCTTAGAAATTCCTTGTCAACTTATGATCCTGCCATTAAAATCAGTGTTTTGTATTCATTTTGTAACAAACTGAAGTTCTAATAGCTGATTTGAAGTTTTTGATATTATTGTAATCTGTGATTGTGTTTAATGACAGCTTGTATAGGTATACTCACACCATAACTCACAATACTCTCCATAACTCACAATACTCTCGCCATGACTTACCATAACTCACCATACCTTCATAACTCACCATAACTCACAATACTCTCATCATAACTCAGAGTACTCTCACCATAACTTACCATACCTTCACCATAACTCATGATACCCTCAGCATAACTCACCATGCTGTCACCATAGCTCACCCTGCTGTCACCATAACTCACCCTGCTGTCACCATAACTCACCCTGCTGTCACCATAACTCACCCTGCTGTCACCATAACTCACCATGCTGTCACCATAACCATGCTGTCACCATAGCTCACCCTGCTGTCACCATAACTCACCCTGCTGTCACCATAACTCACCATGCTGTCACCATAACTCACCATGCTGTCACCATAACTCACCATGCTGTCACCATAATTCATCATGCTGTCACCATAACTCACCATGCTGTCATTATATCTCACCATGCTTTCAACATAGCTCACCATGCTGTCAACATAACTCTCCATAGTGTCATCATAACTCACCATAATGTCACCATAACTCTCCATAGTGTCATCTTAACTCACCATAATGTCACCATAACTCACCATAATGTCACCATAACTCACCATAATGTCACCGTAACTCACCATAATTCACCATGCTGTCACCATAACTAAGCATAATGTCCCCATAACTCAGCATATGCACACCATAACTCACTTTCCCTCACCATTACTGATATAAGCTCACCATACCCTCACCATACGCTAACGTTACAGCACGTTCTCATCAATCCCTAACCATACCACAGTCGTACCCCTGCCTCACCACACACTGGTGACAAGAGCCATGCCTTGAAGCTACTGCTCCATCTGCGACAACATTGTACATCACAGCTTTCTTGTTTCAGAATAATCAGTTGAGGTATTTCCCAACAGCAAACCAAATTCCAGTACCACGACAACCTCAGATGTACAGCCGGCACCAGTCCATTGCACAAGAGGTATGTACACTTCGTAAATATCCCAGCTGTTATCTACTTGTACAGCTGTTATCTACTTGTACAGCTGTTATATACCTGTACAGCTGTTATCTACCTCTACATCCGAAGCTGGATGCCTTGTCAAATTATAAATACTAACAAGATAAGGATGTTATCTGTGGAATAACTCCACATTCTGCTACATCAGCACTCACATTTGATTGATCTTATTAGAAACTGTTCATGAGATTCATTTGTTTCTCTACCAAGTCTAATGATATGGGACGTCCAGTTACACACTAATGATACATGGATATTATTCCTGTTGTCAGTCTCCGCAGCTTCAAGCCCGTGGGTGGCCGCAGCGACGGGGATTGATTGTGACCGACGGCAGCAATGTGACAGAGACTGATGGCAACCTACCTATGACAACAACTCCTGACATCAGCCCAAAACTGATCACCTCCCGATCGCCAACCAGCCCCAGTGTGCCTCATCATGCTCCTAAATTCTTAGCCTCCGGGCCAGTGAGTCTTCCTGTCATGAGGGCGGACCCCACTCTGTTTAAACCGGCCTTGAGGAAGAAGGAGGAAGACACTCTGTGTTGTCCAAAGTGTGGTCAGGGCTTTTCTGAGGAAGAGCAGGATAAGTTATTGGAGCACATGGAAATCTGTTGTGAATAACTTTGAATGTCAAAGTGTGTGTTGTGCAGGTTCACTGACACACGTCAAGGTGTGTTTTGTGTAAGTTCACTGACACAAGTCAAGGTGTGTTGTGTGTCAGTTCACTGACACACATCAAGGTGTGTTGTAAGTTCACTGATACATGTCAAGGTGTGTTGTGTGTCAGTTCACTGACACATGTCAAGGTGTGTTGTGTGTCAGTTCACTGACACATGTCAAGGTATGTTGTGTGCAAGTTCACTGACACATGTCAAGGTGTGTTGTGTGTCAGTTCACTGACACATGTCAAGGTGTGTTGTGTGTCAGTTCACTGACACATGTCAAGGTGTGTTGTGTGTCAGTTCACTGACACATTTCAAGGTGTGTTGTGTGTCAGTTCACTGACACATCTCAAGGTGTGTTGCATGTAAGTTTACTGACACATGTCAAGGTGTGTTGTGTGCAATTCACAGTTCACTGACACATGTCAAGGTGTGTTGTGTGCAAGTTCAGATACACGTAAAGGTGTGTTGTGTGCAAGTTCACTGACACATGTCAAGGTGTGTTATTTGCAAATTCACTGACACATGTCAAGGTGTGTTGTGTGCAAGTTCACTGACACATGTCAAGGTGTGTTATTTGCAAGTTCACTGACACATGTCAAGGTGTGTTGTGTGCAAGTTCACTGACACATGTCAAGGTGTGTTGTGTGTCTGTTCAAATGTCAAGATCAAGTCATGGGTGGTCTTGGGTATAGTGGTATGTTGTGTATACATTTCCTGAGACAGTGTTCTGCAGTAACTGGCTGGCATGAGGGGAGTTTTCGGAAGCCAACTGGATGTTCTTGGGTTAGAAATCGTTCTAGGAATGGAGGTATGCCAATTCTTATGGCAGTAAATTATGAAGTGCATATAGCATGTATATATACTGCAATATTGAGACATGAAGCTCTGAAGAGGAAGGCTATTTAAGGATGGACAACTTCTTTATTGCAAAATATGCAACATTTCGGTGTAGATCCTAACACCGTTATCAAGCAAGTGATAACGGTGTTAGGATCTACATTGAGAAGTTGCATCCACTGCAATAAAGAAATTTTCTATCCATAAAAGTGTTCCTCTTCATCAGACCAGCTTCTAAATGTGAAGAGCTTGTAGGCATAACTGTAGTATAATGTATGTACTACGATATTGAGACATATAGCTGTGAATAACTTGACGTGATGATTGATTATGATGATTATAATCATTGATTGACCTGTTATCTTAAACATATGCAAATATCGACTGTAAGTTATAATAAGTTGTGAAAAACATTATTATCGGATATTTCATTTGAATTTTTTTTTTCTATTACTGATTCAAATTTTGCAAATTTAAGATCACATTAAAGGCTGGTTCTTTAATGCGACCATGAAAAACACAAGTTATAAACATGAAGTATAAAGATATCTTTGGCAAAAGTTTCTTGCTATTTATAGGGTTTGCATCAATATGCTTAAGGACAGGTTCTGTTCAGAGGAAACCAGAAGTGATTGATGTCAAACAGTATGGATTAAATCAGTTAACGTGACTCATAATGACTATAGTATAAACGTCTTGTTGAGTCAGTTCCTGATGACCAAAGTTGTAAAACAGTATGAAAGTACTGGAATATGGTGAACTTTGTTTGTAAATATCAGTTCTATTTTATTAGCAACACTTCGACGCAATGCCTTTGTCGATTCTTTGCTTTGACGTGTCGTAAGATTTTGCGATATTCAAGAACACATGTACATATGTTTTATATGAGAAACTAAACGTGCAAAAGTATTTGGATTTTGTATATTTGTTTGCCTTTCTTGTGATATTTATGCCACATAATTTAAGATACTATATTTTAACAGATCTCCCCTTCCAGTTGTGTCATGGTTATTTTGATGAATACACTATAATGTTATTCCTTTCTCTGTTATTAGTGTTCAAATTTCATATACTAGTATTAATTGTAGCAACTTCACGTTTTTTTACTTGCATTCCTCCCCGTTAGGAAGGCAGGCAGTCAACTTATGCCAAGAGTTGTCTCCCTTAGGTGTGGCAGAAACCTATGATCTTGGGTTCAAATCCAGATTTGTCAGTACCACACCATGTCGAGCACCTGCATTTCTACTCTCTCACATCAAGCAAGCCATCATGCTGTGATATAACTGAAATACTGTTCAATTGAGCATTAAACTCAATCCCTGCTTCTTACGAATGAGTTTGATGTAATCTATAATTACTCATGGAAAGATAAGATTTTCAGTCTTTCAAGAGTAGTCAGTGTTTGAAGGGAAACTTTTGTCTATGACGTTTGTAATTATTACTCATGCGATGCAGGTTATGATTATCATGATTATTGTATGTTTATGAACATGACTCATGTCAAATGGCGTTTCCTCATTCTCACATGACTGTGACATGTTTGGTTAAACTACTCATATATAGTTCCTGTTTCTATTGTGTAACTGGAATACTGTTAAAAAGCTTACTTCTACTTCACTGGAATATTTCCTTGAATATTATTGTACATGCCTTAAAATAAAAGCTATTAATTACCACTGATCAGAAGGTTCTTGGAAATTCAATATCGTGTAATTTCAGGAGTGAAACTGTTGTGTCAAGCTTCATCGGTTTGAGAAGAATGTTGGTTTCATTTGTGTAATCAGTGTTGGTCTGTCACATGATCTGAAATTAATCACAAATATAAACAAGCATCAATCAAGTTCATGGAGTCCTTCATTTATATAAATTTTAAATTCCTACATGAAATTCAAAATGACATTTTTACATTGATATCAAGTTTGACCTAATAGGCATGTGTATACAATCAAAATGTGAACCCAAAATGGTTATTTACGATTCATCTTACCCATGATGAAAATTACGTACAAGAAGTGTACTAAAAGTCAGCCTTTGTTTTGTAAGGTTTGGACACTATATAGTAATCATTCTATATTTACTAACATCATGAGAAACAACAATTGTATTAAATCATATAACAAGGCTTGCACTATTTGCTTACGTCCACATGCATTTACCTAGTGCTATACACTGGAGATATCTTGTATCTCTTAGTCAGCAAGGCTTGGAGTTGATGCTTTCAACCAAGTGTGGGTTTTCATTAATTATGCAGTAAACTGACAATTAACAACGAATTAGTCTTACAATCAAGGTAAAAATTGGAATATGATTTTGTTACTACTGAAATAAATTAAATAAAAGAAACTATCACGATCTTGTTCTGTGTGTCTTTACTCAATCCTCTTCTAATGCTATGTGTGATTTATGTTCTAAAACTGTCATGGTTGGTCCAGTCATCTGAGGTCTGCTCTGCAGAACGGTGGTGGGGTAGGCTATTGGTTAAAGCGTTCATGCCGAAGACCTGAGTTCAATTCCCCACATAGGTACAGTGTCTGAAGCCCATATAGGTGAAATATTGCTAAAAGCGGCATAAAAGTAAACTAATTCACTCACTGCAGAGTTGCACCCTTATGATTTACAGGAATGTGTGCATGGATTTGATCCTTGTTTCACCTTGGTGATGTTTCCCGGTTTGTCAGCACCAAGCGCATTTCCTGGGTTTCACCAAAGTGGAGACATTTGAGACTACGCATCACTGGAATAGTGTTTATAGTAGCCTAAATACAAACTCACCCATTAATGTCTCTAAATGAAAGATGTGTCAAAGTACATGTACTAACTTTGTGGTACAAGCATAAGGTACCAAAGGTGTTTGTTAAGTCTATCATCAAGCTGACACGTTCAGCGTTCAAACTATAAGCAGTGTTCGAAATAGTTTCCAGTTTGCTAGCCAGTGGGGCTAGTTATGCCTGAAAGTTACTTGTCCACAAGTCACCTTCTTGACGACGACATTAGAATCTGTGTCGAAACGTCGCCTCCATTGAATAAAAGAAGTTGTATAGCCATAAAAAGTGTCATCATTCTACAAATATATACCTATAAAAAATTCAAGTGAACTACAGTGCCTCATTTCAAAATTTGCTATAATTTTATTATGTGTTCCATTTACTCAGATTTCCTCAAAATATGATATCAGTTATCGTTTTCATCAAAAAGGAAACGTGAAAGTGCATCAAGTACGGGAAAACCCGTTCTCCTTCCTGTTGCGTGTTCATTTACGTCAGCTTTGTGAATGAGAGGTCACTTCCTTGTGTATCAATCACTGAAAAAAACACCAACCATTTGGATTATGTTTATGACTTCTAAATAGTTTCAACACAATACATTCAGCTTCACCTTAGTGAACAAAACATGCCCATAACAGTCCCAATTCGAAACTTGTCACATACACACATGTGAAAAAGTTAAGCACCGCCCAAAATTTGATAAATGTGTTATCACACTGGCTAAATCTTTCATGTTGTATGTATTAAGTATTAGTTAAGTGAATATGCAGCATGTGATGTTTACCACACCTCAAAAGTTTTATTGATTTTATTAAAAGGATTTTTTCGCTTTTATTTATTGGAATTACGAAAGTGATTCAGTCAGCACTTCCTATGCTTCAAGTAAGATACAAAGGTACTCCTCATCTATGGATATCTTTAACAGAGAAATACATGTGTTGCATTATTGTTTAATGAATCAGTGTAGGAAACTCCCCAAACATTTGTACTAGACCACAGGGCTCATTAAGACATATCAGCCCCTATGAAAACCAGCCAGTCCTCTCAACATTATCTGAAACTATTCTTTAATTAAATAAAACAGAAAATGAAAAGAGGTATGTTTGACTATCTTTAGTAAACTCACTCAGCTTGGTTTTTGCTGTAGGTACTATAGAGAAGTGTGGATGAGACGAAAAACTAATTTTCTGGTTTTGTTTCTGTCACGTTCAAGGCTTATTCTTCTGAGAAATGTCATCGAAATAGCGAATTATTATCTGCTAACTAAAATAAATCAAGATAGAGACAGGGTTATGGTTGCAGAGGTAATGTTATTATTCTGCCAAGGAATTTACTGGAATTTTATCCTCCAAACACTTATATGCAGGAAACAAATACAAGGACTTTTAAAGACAAAACAATCACTGATTAAATATATTATTGCATTTTGCCTATTACAATACTTCCCATTTCATAATTTATGTATCCCCTTTTTTGGGGTTAAAATGAATGTGTGGAAATATTGCTATCCTTTTATTTTGGGTAAAGTCTTTACTGGAGCAAGCATGATGTATCAAATTAAGTATATCCGTAAAGGTCTGAGTTAGAATATTGGCCTTCAGTAACCGATGCTTGTAGTAAGAGGCGACTAACGGGATCGGGTGGTCAGACTAGATGACTTGGTTGACACATGGCATCGGTTCCCAATTGCACAGATCAATATTCATGCTGTTGATCACTGGATTGTCTGATCCACAATCGATTATTTACCAACTGCCGCCATATAGCTGGAATATTGCTGAGTGCGGCGTAAAACTAAACTCACTCAATCACTCAAATTAAGTTTGTAAGACAAATTACTAGTATTCTCCATCAAAGAGATCTCAACGGCCTCATAATTGACAAGCAGATCTGTGAAACAAGTAATAAAATCGATCTGCCTAATGGATATATAGCCATGCTCCCTCAAGGAGAGTGATGCTCACGGTTATCAATACGTTCATGCTGACCATCATCTGTATGGCCAACAATGTATAATGTCAACTATCTGTGAAGATCTGAGTCAGAGTTTCAGGCTTGCTGACTTGGTCGATGCATGAGAAGGATAGAGTCTAAAAAAAGTCTCAAAGAGTGACAAATGACAACCATAAATTGAGTGAATAGTTTACTACCATGGTTTGCATAAGAATCTCACAATGAAGGCAAGAGCAGAACATTGGCACAAGATGGATCTTTGAAAATAGTGATTTGTTCTGTGAGCACATGATGTAGGTGGCAATGTGGTAATAGTACAGTTGAACTCTTATCTCAAATGAACCCACATTTCAAAACTGTCCTATAGCCCTGACCACCTCACTATATATATACTCTTAAAGGTCACATGCAACCAAAAAATCAAACATAATTAAAACACAATTATCACTTATTCATGACATATAATATACATTGCTGGTTATGAAAAAACATATAAACAAAATTATAAGCGTATAATCGCAAATCAAAAGTGCAATATTGTGTACTTGGGTTTACTTCCCAAGAAACGAAGCTGCGGGGATACCGAACCCAGTCAGAGCGGTGGGTGTGCACTCGAGTGTAACGGCTGGTTCATTTGCAGATGCCCTCACGGCTCATTGTGTGTGTACATATAGAGATGTTGGGTTTTGTAAATACATGCTCATTTTTTGTGTATAACATTTTGCAATCAACACATCATAACATGTCATGTGTTCAAGTATCACACCTGCCTGTCTGTGTAATTACATAATGTGACAGAGACCGAACTCGGGCCATAAATCAATGCGTTTTGTTTATGGTGTATAGCCTGATTGGTGTTAAGTTCAAATTGCATGTGGTCAGTGATCGCAGTTGTGTATTGAATATTGTCATTAGCAGACAGGCAGGCAGACACACAGGTGTCAATAAAACAAGACATTGAGATTTGTCTGTGACAACGACATATCTATATCACAGTTAGAAATTCTGTCAACGCTAAATAATGACATTGCTTTTAAGTATCGAACTGAGAAAGTGACTCGGTAAGAAGAACATGTGGTGAAATAGACAAATGAAATCATATAAACAGTTTATTTACTGTCATAACATATAAAATGCTCGCGCCTGTGAGATATCAACAAAACATGAGGAAAATAGCTCACACCAAAGCCTTCACCTAGTATTCACCGGACAGCCCGCTTCCAAGTTGCGCGAACCTATTTCACTGCGCACATGCTATGAGCGCAGCCCATCTGTTGAAACCAGTTTTCCCCCGAAAAGTCGGGGGGAAATTAGTGAATCGTTTGAACTCCGATTTCGCGCGTTTTTTCATCGCATTATTTTTCAACTTTATAAGTTGAATTTGCATTTTTGATGATTTGTTAGTCCATACCGAAAGGTATCAGAATCTGCAAAGTTGTGTTTTACATTGCATGTGACCTTTACGTAGGGGATTTCAGTTGATATGGTAATACTGAATGTTTTGAGAGTGCATCACCGCTTGCACTTTCTTATGACCATAGTTGTTTGTACAGTAATCGCTCTTGAAAGAAGATTGGTGTATGACATGAAATTTGCATGTGTACAATTTTCATTTTCAAACAAAACAAATATGGCTAGAAACAAACACTAACAACAAGTGTGTGATGCAAGATGTTTTTTAAAATTACAGTGATGTATCAACCTTCTTGAAAACCATCAAAATCAAGAATGACACCCCATGCACATGTATGGGGCTACTGCATTGTGCACGTGTTTACAGGTGGTGATAAATAGAAATGGTGGTGCTTTCATAAGATGTCTGTCTTTGATAAGTTTGTTACTTCCTATCCAAATGGAAAGTTCAGGTTCCTCTACTTTCTTTGAAGAGTATATATGCATATGCATCTGCCATGGTGATACTGACAATATTGGAGGCTAGTTAAGCTTCAGACAAGTGTCTCTGTTGTTTTTGTGAAGTGGACACTGATACAGGTGTTGGTGATTTCTGATTGCTGCTGAGCTGTTTATGATAATGCATGTACGTGTCGATCCCACATGTAATACACTGTCACACGTCACAACTAATATTATTCACTGCTGCAAAATACAGTACAATTTGTCATTTCACATGCATGAATTGTCAATTCATTTCACATATATGCAATCATATTTATATGATTTACAATACTATTACCTGATCCTTCTGGATGTTCGTCAATATCTCAAATCTGAATATCTATAAGTTACAACACAGTCGTGATACATCAGGCACAAACAGATTCGACTGTAGGTTACACATTGTGGTAATGTAACATGAGGTTACATTGTGGCAGTAGAATGTTGCAGTAGTATGCATGGTAACAAAATACATTTTCATTTTTCAGGTTGCCATAGCAGCAAAAGTTGAAAACTAAAAGACTTGATTTTTACAGCATCATTAGGCACAGTCAAGAGGATGGGGTGAGCAAAATCTTAACTCTGTACGTTTCCTAGTTCCGGAGACAATGGATAGATAGTAGTTTGGCGGACAGATGCGGACATATTTGTCACCAAATCTGACCTGCGCATATGATACATCGGGTCTGGGCAAAGCAGAAACACTAACTCCTTCCACCCTAGAGGTAATAATAACGGAGTCTTACCTCGCCCCAAAAAGTGTTTTTTCTTGTAACGGACCGGTCAAATGACCTTGAGCACTTGGCCGTGGTGACCTTGATCATAACAAAATACATGTACCGGACTTCACTAAAACAAATATGGTACTTTGTTCATGGATGTGGCTTGGGTAAGTTCTTATTCAAGGATGATGACATGCATGCATGTCGTCATATGAGCGAAATATTCTCAAGCACGACGTTAAACCCAATTTCACCTCACCTCTCCACAAGGATGATGAACTTCAAATTCACAGGATAATGATGTATGATGAGCACTTTTCAAGGGTGATAAGTCTTATTCAAGGATAATGAGCCTGATTCAAGGATGATGAGACATATTTAAGGATAATGAAATCTATTCAAGGATTATGTGCTCTCTTTCAAAGAGGATGTGATCAATTAAAGATGGTTCTGCAGAAGGACTTTGAAAGGATAGCCATGAACTGAATCAAGACTTACACTGAGGTATTTCTGTGAGACTGCCAGCACAGTGTGTGACCATACAGTGGTACATGTGAGACATCACTGTAATCCTTAGTTACATGCTCAGTTAACACACATATTTCATTTAGTGCTGATGCTACTACTTGATTACCAGGCTACATAATCCTCCACCATAACAATAAACACCAATAAATATGTGTATGAAAATATGATCAGTGTACGGTTTGATCACTGATGCTTTCTTCACTGATATTTTTATGTAAGGATCACCACCAAGTAGCAAGAGACTGGGGCACACTACAATGGCAGTTGGTCATTCAAAAGTTGGTGGAAAATTTGCCAGTAGAAAATGGTATGTGATTCTGTTTCCCAATTTTCTTATGGTTGCCTAAAAGGTACAACCTTCAGGCACTTTGCCCCAAATCATATCTCAAACATATTATCCATACCAGAAACCCATATATCCACCAAACAAATAGATCACTTCCTAAAATGGTCCAAGTAGAAACAGCTCACCTCCTACTGTGGTCCCTGTACAAATAGATCACCTCTTAATATGGTCCCAGTACAAATAGATCACCTCTTAATATGGTCCCAGTACAAATAGATCACCTCCTAAAATGGTCCCAGTACAAGTAGATCACCTCCTAAAATGGTCCTAGTACAAATAGATCACCTCCTAAAATGGTCCCAGTACAAATAGATCACCTCCTAAAATGGTCCCAGTACAAATAGATCACCTCCAAGGCTCCTACTATGGCCCCAGTACAAATATCCCACATCATATAAAGTTAGTGAACTTTAAGAATCATCACTATCAGGCTAAAAATGATTTCTTCAATATCAATTGGTGCCTTACTGTGCCTAAAAAGCTACTTCTGTAGCACACTGCATGAAATACTTTTATTCTCTTAGCATACATTCTTCAATCGCTATCCAGTCTCCAAAGCAAGAGAAGCACTGTTTTATTCCCAAAATATATAAGCCATCATTCCAGTTTCTTGTTGAAGAAGATTTTGGCGTTAGCTTTGTAGTCCATAGGCAGATCAAAGTTGACGTCTCTGGCACCTAGGGATGCTGCGCCCACTGCCCCTGACACCAGCAGCTCCATCAACGTCACCTCTGGGATGCCCAGCTTGGGTCCACCCTCTGACATCACCGCAACAAAACCTACAAGTTATAAACATAACACCTAACATTTGACATCCTGGGCAAGATATAAAATTAAAAACTTCAAATTCAGAATATATACTGAGAGAAACAAATAAAGGATCACAGGAAAATTCAAGTGTTCCTTCATTATTTTCTAGTTTTCATCAGCACAGGAAGGAAGGCTTGAATTTTCCTGTGATCCATTATTTGTTTCTCTCAGTATATATAGTTTTCAAAAGACTTCTTAGTTTTTATTCATGAATTTTTATGAGTTGGGAGATAAATTGTTTTCATTCCACAGATTTTCTTTTTGATGCTTGCCACCAATGCTCTGCATCACACTGATGTAGGGTGGGTGTTGAATTAATACAGACACTCAGGTGTTTTACTCAGGTTGTTAATGACTTCCACTTTCTAAACATGCTAAAGTGCGCATAATGCTTGTTAGCAGGGAAATCGCAAAAAGACTCACATTTCCCCACAAGAAACTTATAATATAGGTGTGATTCATTTTATTCCTGACAATACAACTGTAGAGGTGCCTGAGACACCTGAATAAACCCAGTACTTTGGATAGGACTGACACTCATCACAACCAAGTACCGGTGATGTTTGACAATGCCAAGTAACAGAGATGCTTGACACAATTACACACCAGAGATGTTTGACACAACCATGTACTTGACACAATCACACACCAGAGATGTTTGACACAACCACGTACTTGACACAATCACACACCAGAGGTGTTTGACACAACCATGTACTTGACACAATTACACACCAGAGATGTTTGACACAACAATGTACTTGACACAATCACACATCAGAGGTGTTTGACACAACCATGTACTTGACACAATCACACACCAGAGGTGTTTGACACAACCACGTACTTGACACAACCATGCACCAAAGGTGCTTGACACAACCATGTCCCAGAGATACTTGACATAACCACATACTTGACACAACCATGCACCAAAGGTGCTTGACACAACCATGTACCAGAGATACTTGACATAACCACATACTTGACACAATCAAGCACTAGAGACTCTTGACACAACCATGTACAAGAGATGCTTGAAACATTTATGTATAAACAATGTCTGAAAACCATTCAAGCCACCAAATCTATATTTAGTAAATACAGCTGCGCAATGTGGCGACACAAGCTGAATTTTGTATAGCACTCTGACTTCCATATTGCGCGGATCTTTGATACATTATACAATGGAAGTTGCTTTGTGTCAAACACTATTCTGCCGGTGTCTATGGCAACTGGCACTTGATTGATGACGTCACACATGTGTGATGTGTCCATTGTTTAAAGTGATACTTAAGTCACCATAACCTCAATGCAGAAGTTGTTATAATCATGATGTTTAGAGTAAGATCAAAACAGTCTGTGTTATCATAAGGGTATGTAGTAAACATAGAATGACATCCTAGTGCATTTGGATATTATGTATAGAACTTGAAGATGTCATGTTTGGGGTGACCGGACAAAATCCACCCGGACAAAATCCACCCCAAAATTGCCACCCCGGACAAAATCCACCTCTTCTTAACAAAAAAATGGACAAAATCCACCCTTCTCAAATTGCTATTGTTCAAAGTTTTAGTGTGTCCTGATCTTTGATCAAGTTGTTTTGCTCAAGCACTGCAAGCATTGTTTTGATAGCATTTTCGTTTTCCTAATTGGCTGTTGTTCCTAGATGTTGTTTCAAACATTAAAGGTTTCTCCATTTGTCACATTTTGATCACTACTTAATCCTCTTTCATGTATCATTAAGTAGTCTCACACTTTGATCATTACGTAATCCCCCTTAAAGAATTAAGATGTTTTTGCAAGCCTTTTTTTTGTTATTGATTATGAATGACTGATATGAATAAAATTCATTTCTGTGACTGAACATGTCATTATTTTTTTTTCTTAGGGTGGAATTTATTAGGGGTGGATTTTGTCCGGGTGGATTTTGTCCTAGGTTGCAATTTTGGGGTGGATTTTGTCCGGGTGGATTTTGTCCTGAGAAACAACGAGTTTGAAGAAAGTCACAGCCATACAAGACAAGTTCCAGAGATGAAGCTGTTGACAAGTGTTTACCTGGTTCCAGCAGCGACCAACTCTTCCACACCGACCCGACACACACGACATGGAGTCCTCCGTCCCCCTCCAGTATTTTCTGCAGAGAGAATGCCATAAGTGATCACAGATTAAGTGACATTTTCATAAAATTGTTAACCCCCTTAAGGCATCATCTAAAAAAATCCAAGGAATTTTTCTCTGTATCGTAGATGTATACGATATATCACAGTGTATATTAAGGCAAGTTTTTCATACCTTCTATTAGAGGGATTTTAAGGGTGGTTATACACTAGGTAGAAGAATCAACATTCATTTGCTTTCTGGCTGCATCACTTCTAGGTACCACTAGTGATGTCAACTGACATCCGACAGCCACTGAAATAATTCTGAAATAACTGTTTCAGCTGTTTTGGCATATGAAGTTTCAATGCATCCAAATTCCTTGTTTATACCATACATTTTGTGCTAAAGAAGTTTAAATGAGCCACGATCACAACTGCCCAGCCAGCTCACATGGCCTGATCTGAGATGATATTCTTTTGTAACGGACATCATGGAAATACAGTAGTGAGATTGTAATATCACCACTGTGAAATCAGATTCCCTATCCCTGTATATACTGACACGCCTCCATTATATCCACTGGTATCTACAGTATATTTTGATGTTTTCCTTCGTGATTTTATGTATTACTGGAGCAGTAATATAATGAATCGAGAGATTTGTTCACAATCCATTTTGTGTATAATTTACAGAAACAAATAATGTTTAACAATAAACTGAGGGTCAAGCAACAATATCTCAATAAAAGACAGTCTTGATAGTTATGATCCAATGTTTACTTGACATATTAAATTGGAGAAATATTTTAAAGAAATTACTTTTCAATGATCAATCTGCTGACTCAAAACTTAACCCATAAAATTCAATCCTGAGTAGCATGTATCTGTGTAATTAGAGATGATGCTGAGAATGGGTTTATCTACATATGTGCATCACATGCAGAATCCCTGCACATGTTGGAATACTGGGGTATCTGCAAAACTGTTTTTTTTCAGCCACACCCCCATGGGTTTCACCGAAGTGGGACAAGAAGACAAAGTCATCAATATCCCCCGCAATGGCAAAATACTCTTCATGACTATGTCTACGAGTTATGATTATGTAAATTATTTAGGTGTGTGTATAGAAAAGTGGAAGGAGAGTACTGAAAGGTTTTTAAAGTTCTGCTCCAGAAAGGAGCACTATCACCAATTTCAGTCTAAGTCAAACTTGTTGCCATGGAAATGCCAAAAATATTTTATTCAGAAATCCCAAACTACCAAAAGGCACCAGTACAAACCAGATCTATGCACGTGCCAAGTTTGGTGAAGAAACATTGAATGGTTTTAGAGTTCTGCTCCGGAAAAGAGCACTACCACTAATTTCAGTCTAAGTCGAACTTGTTGCCATGGAAACGCCAAACATATTTTATTCAGAATTCCAAAACTACCAAAAGGCACCAGTACACCACCAGATCCATGTATGTGCCAAGTTTGGTGAAGAAATATTGAACGGTTTTAGAGTTCTGCTCCGGAAAAGACAAATGTGCACGGACGGACGGATGCACACACGGACGCATGGACGGACAGAGTCCATTTTAATAACCCCTGCAAAACGCGTTGCGGGGGATAAATATGTCAAAGCCTTCAATCACCTCAGATTTTCTTCCACAGTCACCGATCACACTAACATACAGCTGGAGTACTGTTGAAAGATGTGATACAAACCACACTCCCTCGTAAAGAAAAACTTTAAACTTTCACCTGATATTCTTCTTTAAGTGTCACATTACATACAGCTACAGCGTGTCAGTGCAGGGTTAACTATTGTGTCATTAACCTCTACAGATCTTTATTAAGAACAACCACTAATGCTCATTTCTCTAATTTCAAGGCAGAATAATGAGCATTACCAAGGTAAACATAACTGCGACTTTTTGAAAGTATCATTTTTTAATAATAATAATATTAATAATAATAATGTGTCCATTTATATAGCGCCAAACTCCACGCCAGGTATGCTCATAGCGCTAACAATCAATAGCACAGCTCATTATTATCCTGGATAACCCAAGCTAGAAGGTTATAGTCACATGACTTATCCCACTGTGTACCCATTTTCTGCTGGGTGAACATAGGCAATTTTGAACAAACTCATGTGCCTCAGGTGAGACCACATGTATCACATGTGCTTCGTTGTGGGGCAGGAGAAGTCCTTGAAACACTCAGGAGTCAAACTGCCAAACACGGTCACCCATCCAAGGACTCTGCGCGCCCAGCGTTGCTAAACTTCACCTGATTTGTGACCTGAGCTCTATGCACAGGACTTCACACCGCCGTCATACTATTCATAATACCATGTATGTATATAAGTTCTTATCTGCATAGTGCAACACATTTACAGTTTGACATCTCACAACACATCTAATATTACAATCTGGAACTTAAGATAGTTGTTTTTCCATGCTAAGTTTGTGAAACTAGGAAAATGGTTTTACATTCTCACATGAGTCCTGTTCCTTCGTAAAAGTAAGTTCATCAGTAATGCCCCATTAATATTATATTAGAGTTGATGTACCAATCAGTTTGAGAGGATGTTAACTAAACAATATATTTGAAACTGACCTTGTCCATCTTAGGTCCAAGGGCAAGGATGTGTCGAGCCAGGAGTTTCCCAGCCTCTTCGAATATATGCAGGCACAGAGGATCCTTTGTATCCACAGCACCTGACAACATAGTGACTCAAATGAAAATCTTTCTTGGGTATGCACACCACTGGCTTGTGCATCTTGAATCAGTGCTAACAGCAGCAGCCTGTTGGTCATCCTCTAACCAGAATTGATGTCATTATTCTATAGCCAGTTTTGTATGTGGTTATCCTATAGCCACAATAGTACATGTTCATACCACAGCCAGTATTGTATGTGGTTATCCTACAGCCAGTATTGTACATGGTCATATCTCTATAGAGCATTGTATGTGGTTATCCTACAGCCAGTATTGTATGTGGTTATCCTACAGCCAGTATTGTATGTAATTATCCTACTTTTCTTGGTTTCATCTGGGTTTACAATAAAAAGATGAAACCCAGAAAAGTCTCTATGTTCATCAATTATCCTACAGCCAATATTGTATGTGGTTATCCTACAGCCAGTATTGTATGTGGATATTCTACAGCCAGTATTGGATGTGGATATTCTACAGCCAGTATTGGATGTGGTTATCCTACAGCCAGTATTGTATGTGGATATTCTACAACCAGTATTGGATGTGGTTATCCTACAGCCAGTATTGTATGTGGATATTCTACAACCAGTATTGGATGTGGTTATCCTACAGCCAGTATTGTATGTGGATATTCTACAGCCAGTATTGGATGTGGTTATCCTACAGCCAGTATTGGATGTGGTTATCCTACAGCAAGTATCCCAACACGAGCTGAATTCCACGTTCTGGTGATTTCGACGATTGCATTGCACGTGCTATATCGGGGGAGTACGTGTGCGATCGGAGTGCACAAACAGTTTCACTGGTAGGGAGGGTGCCAAGTCGCTGTCGTGAGAAGTTTTATTGACAATGGAAATCGGAAAGTTAAGTTATATAAAAAGCAAACAAACATCAATATTATTTACCCGAGATCGTTAATACCACTTACGATGCAAAATCAGTTGCCTTTATAACAAAAAATAGCAAGCAAAACTTCAGTTAGATCAGTCGTCTGCTGGTGACAGGCAATATATAAATAGGAAGCCACGTGATCACAACACTCCCTCGCAGTGCGGAGCAAAAGGTATGGCTCATCGTCGAAAACCCATACAAAATACCCGGATGTTACAAGCGGCAACAGTTTCGCCGATACGATTTCATCAACGCTATTTTTGTAGGGAACACTTGATATTTTTGTGTGAAATAGATGAATATATCCTTTATCACTCAAGGTTAGTAAAATACAAACTTTAAATGATATTACAGATAAAAAATATGTTTTTGTCTTACATCGTCGAAAACCCCTGACACCGGGATATTGTATGTGGATATTCTACAGCCAGTATTGTATGTGGTTATCCTACAGCAAGTATTGTATGTGGTTATCCTACAGCCAGTATTGGATGTGGTTATCCTACAGCCAGTATTGGATGTGGTTATCCTACAGCCAGTATTGGATGTGGTTATCCTACAGCCAGTATTGGATGTGGTTATCCTACAGCCAGTATTGGATGTGGTTATCCTACAGATGTGGTTATCCCAGCCATTGGATGTGGTTATCCTCCTACAGCCAGTATTGGATGTGGTCATCCTACAGCCAGTGTTGGATGTGGTTATCCGACAGCCAGTATTGTATGTGGTTATCCTACAGCCAGTGTTGGATGTGGTTATCCGACAGCCAGTATTGTAAGTGGTTATACTACAGCCAGTGTTGGATGTGGTTATCCTATAGCCAGTATTGGATGTGGTTATCCTACAGCCAGTGTTGGATGTGGTTATCCTACAGCCAGTATTGTATGTGGTTATCCTACAGCCAGTGTTGGATGTGGTTATCCTACAGCCAGTATCCGATGTGGTTACCCTACAGCCAGTGTTGGATGTGGTTTATCCTACAGCCAGTATTGTAGATGGTTATCCTACAGCCAGTTTGGATTGGATGGATGTTATCCTACAGCCAGTATTGTATTGGTTATCCTACAGCCAGTGGATGTGGTTATCCTACAGCCAGTTGTATTGTTGGATGGTTATGGTTATCCTACAGCCAGTATTGTATGTGGTTATCCTACAGCCAGTATTGGATGTGGTTATCCTACAGCCAGTATTGGATGTGGTTATCCTACAGCCAGTATTGGATGTGGTTATCCTACAGCCAGTATTGGATGTGGTTATCCTACAGCCAGTGTTGGATGTGCCAGTATTGGATGTGGTTATCCTACAGCCAGTATTGGATGTGGTTATCCTACAGCCAGTATTGTATGTGGTTATCCTACAGCCAGTGTTGGATGTGGTTATCCTACAGCCAGTGTTGGATGTGGTTATCCTACAGCCAGTATCGGATGTGGTTATCCTACAGCCAGTGTTGGATGTGGTTATCCTATAGCCAGTATTGGATGTGGTTATCCTACAGCCAGTATTGTAGGTGGTTATCCTACAGCCAGTGTTGGATGGGGTTATCCTACAGCCAGTGTTGGATGTGGTTATCCTATAGCCAGTATCCGATGTGGTTACCCTACAGCCAGTACTGGATGTGGTTATCCTACAGCCAGTGTTGCATATAATTATCCCATTGCTAGTACAGTGCAGGGTTGTCCCATAGACAGTATTGTATGCTGCTTTCTCATGGTCAATCATATTACTTCATCATGCATACTCACATTTTGCTAATTCTTTACACATTCCAGCAATCTTGGCTTTCTCAAACTTAGCATATAAAAAGTTTAGTAGTTCTGGTCTGTCCTTTATCTGAGGAGAAAATATAAACCAAATAACATCAACCAGGCCATTCTCTTCCCTCAGAGGTTACTTGTCATATCTGCCTACGAACCTCTGTTCTAATAAGGTCCTTTCATGGTGCGAGTGTTCAGGATTCATGATTGGTTGCAATCAGATTTAGTTGTGCAATCAGCAACGTTGTTTCAAAAGTAATCATTTGCAAGGCCTCGGTAATTTCGGATGCTTCGGGATAACTAGAACCTCTTCCCCTGCGCGATGCCCAAACGTTTCTTCTAGACAGACCTCAGTCATGTAATGATGGATCAATGGCGTCTCCACCGCCCTCTTTGACAACGGACAAGCTAGTCATTAAATGTCTTGTGTGTCACATCAACACAAGTCCCCGGCAGAGGAGGGATATTTGTGGCCCCACATTTGCTTGTATTAGTAAAGTTGGATCTAAGTCGATGTAACACATGTTCTGACTGGATAGAAAAAAGGGAGATAATTTGTGTTGAGATTTTTTGCCGCTAGGGGATTTTACGAGACTGGGAAATATGGCAGTATTAGAACAGAGGTTCGTAGGAAGATATGACACGTAACTTCTGTGGGAAGACAATGCAACCAGGCAAGAAACATTTAATATAACTAATTATCTACAAGAATATTTTCAATCACAATATTTTCTAAATATATCCTCTCACAGTAGACTTTATTCAACCCTATCAAACATCACTGAACATCTACAATTGGCCTGTCTGCAAACAATAAAATTTAAATTAAGAACACACCAGAAAAGACTTACTTCAAAGGAAAAACACATAAGAAAAGACTCACATCAAAGTTAGAAGTCTTCAGCAAACTTTACTTCAAAGTATGTACATGGAAGAAAAAATTTACATGAAAGTAAAAGGATTTCAGCAAAAACTTATTTCAAAAAGGATGAAAACACCATCAAAGACTCACTTCAAAATAAGAACACATGATGTCTTTCACTGCTGTCGTATCATAAGGACATTCCACCAAATTATCTTCCTTATCAAAATACATCTTCAAAGCTTTGTGTGAAATCCAGTAAGCTGAAAGAAAAACAGACACATCCTTTCATTATGAAGCACATTTGTTTTACTGCTTTCCACTATCTGTTGATGAATGCAATACTTGTATGTTACACATTCCATAGTGAGATATCACGCAGTATTTAGAATGTTTGACAGAAAATTGTGTGAAATATGCAATGCCATTTAATTGTGTGGATATACATCAGCATAAGTCTGTGTAAATAAAGGTGCACATGTAGAATGGCTCAAATCAAGCTTGACTTGTTTAAAAAGAAGCAAATTTTTACTATTGTACAAGAGGGTGAACTGACCCACTTCATTCCACTGATACAGCACAGGAAATAAAGCCTCTTAGTAAAATACCAGATGAATAAGCTGTGTAAGTACTATGCATCTTTGAATAGTGTTGGAATTTTGTTTATATAAAATATACCATCAGTCTTAAAAGATGATGCAAAGCATGACGAGCACTTTCTGGACTCCTAGAATCTGAATAATGTTTGAAGTGAAGATATCTTTTAGAACAAGTAGTTGTTAAAGCAATTGTCAACACGTCAAAACATGTAATAGTTTATCTTGTTATTATTTGACTGAATACAATGGATATTACTGAATCTAATCAACTGGTGACATGGTATGGTATTCATGATAAAAATCCTATCTGTTACACTATATTCATAACCCTCCCTTTATTACCTGATGACTCATCCCCAATGAGATGTCCCCATCCTCCACACCGATAGGCTGAGTTGTCTGGGTTGATCAGCTGACAGTTGGAGCCAGTCCCAGCAATGAGAACAATCCCACCTGGAGATGGTGAATAATTTTTTTTTAAATATTGCATTATATCTTCCATGCCAGATTCTGGCATATGCAATTCCAGTCAAGTGAACACATCAAGGGAAATAACTCTTGTTAACAACAATTTCATAATCTATCATGAACTGAATATGCATGGTCAGTATAGTATTGCAAGTTTCTAAATCCAATTAGTCTAAAATTTAGTGTAAAAAGGCAGGGTGTCATAAATCTATTGTCTAATGTTAAAAGGTTAGGGGTCCCTCAATTCAAATAGTGTGAAAGTCAACCCAAAAATGATAGAAGGATACCCAGATTTTTGGACACTAATCAACAACTGACATTAGAAACTTAACCAATTGTGACAGAAGACCTCACTTATACTCATGAATAATCATGTGATGTTTACAGCATACAGACAGAGACCTACTGACATACAATAGCTGATCTTCATCCAACTTTGTTGACAACATTGTACAAAAAGAACAAGGCCTAATTTCAAAGCCCTGTTTTCCAGTACATGTGTATTTTGGAATTCCCTTTCATCGCTTCTGTCAGAATTGTATGTGACTTGTCAAACTCTTTTCACTCATTGCCCAGTACCCCAGATGATATACCCCTATATAATGGAGGTAATATCTTCAAAGGTGCTACCAGCAACATTAGTGTCACATCCCAGACTCATTGACCCTACTTCTCAACACTGGATGACATGAATCCAGGACAAAATCCACCCGGACAAAATCCACCCCAAAATTGCAACCTAGGACAAAATCCACCCCTAATAAATTCCACCCTAAGCAAAAAACACCTAATGACATGTTTAGTCACAGAAATGAATTTTATTCATATCAGTCATTAAAAAGTATGTTCTATCAAAACATGAGTATAAAGGGCTCCAATCAGACTTGCAAAAACATCTTAATTCTTTAAGGTGATTACGTAATGATCAAAGTGTGAGACTACTTAATGATACATGAAAGAAGATTAAGTAGTGATCAAAATGTGACAAATGGAGAAACCTTTAATGTTTGAAACAACATCTAGGAACAACAGCTAATTAGGAAAACGTAAATGCTATCAAAACAATGCTTGCAATGCTTGAGAAAAACAACTTGATCAAAGATCAGGACAGACTAAAACTTTTAACAATAGCAATTTGAGAAGGGTGGATTTTGTCAATTTTTTTGTTAAGAAGAGGTGGATTTTGTCCGGGGTGGCAATTTTGGGGTGGTTTTTGTCCAGGTGGATTTTGTCCGGTCACCAGATGACATACCATTAGTTAATGGGACAGGAAGGGCTTTGAAAGATTCACAACGAATGTGTACCCTACTCCAACCCCTCAGATGACATACCATTAGATCATGGTATCATGGCCTCTGAAGGTGTCACCAGCAACATGTGTGTGGCTTCACAGATATGTTTACCACACTCCTCTACAATGGATGATGTACCATTAGATACTGTAGTAGCAAGGGCCTCGAAAGACTCAATACGAATATGTCTGTGTCTTCTCAGACCCTGTTACACAAACTCCACAACCCCAGATGATATACTATAAGATCAAAAAGTACAACGGCCACCAAAGGTGTCCCTGGCAATATGTGTGTGACTTTTTAGACCTGTTAGTGTTTACTACACTCCACTTCAATGGATGATGTACCATTAGTTATTGTAGCAGCAATAGGTCTGAAGGTGTCACAAGCAATATGTGTGTGACCTCTCAGACCCCTCCCCCACACGAGATGACATACCATTAGACAATGCAGTAGCAAGGGCTCCAAAGGTGTCACTGGCAACGTATGTGTGGCTTGTCAGATCAACATAGTTTGTCTTTATCCCTTCCTTTAGTTGCCGCTGACTCTCGGACTCATCTCCTCCACTCAAGGACATTCCCTGGAGAGAAATATATATGCATGAAAATTCTACACACTAAATTGCTTGTTCATACCTTTAATGCAATCTTGCTGAATCACAAATATGATCTACATTATTAGGTTGTATTGAAACCTTGTTTGTGTGGACCCTGGCCATCCAGAAACCCACCTTCCAGGCCATCTTGTGTGGATCAGCTTAGTACATCCAAAGGAACATTACCCACAACCTTGAATCATTAATCTTGAAGATTTTAATGAAAGGGACCTTCTCAATAATCACACTTCTTCTCTATCCCTAACATAACAACACAAAGTTTTCACAAAGGAAATCATTTATATACTCTTAGAACAGTTTTGCATGTATTTTCCCATTATATAAGCTTATTAGGAAAATGAATAGTTTGGAATGACATATCTGATTCTAAACATGTTAAGAAAGGGGAAATTGAAAAAAACATCCAAATGAATTCTTTATCTTTTCCAAACAAAAACGTAGTATCTGGTAATAAGTCACTCAGATTGGAATTCTAATCATGAAATTAGCATAGTATTGTCACGGCATCTTTTGCTAAAGTTTGTTAACATTGTAGTTTCAAGACATCATCTCTCACTGACCAGAGCCTTGAGTGGTTTGGAAGCTTCTACTCCTGCCTTCTCCTTCACTTCAACTGTCATCGTGTTGATTCTCTTCAGGCACTCTTCTAGACCAATGAGCTAGCAAAGAAACAAAACACAATGTCATACTCAGGTATGTATCATGGAATAATAATTCATACAAAATTCATTATTCATCATTACCACTACAAGCAATATATTAGGATTCAGATATGAGGAAAATATAAATATAGAATATTAGTAATCCAATTTTTCGATCCAGCCGGATTGTTGAATCGTACCACCCCTGCAAAGACCCAATTCACCACGGAAATTACATTACGCGTGCGGAATTTCTCTACTTCTCTACGACAACAGATGACAGAATCTGTCAACCATTCCAAGGGATGTGCGCAACATGTGCATCTGGTCGCGAGATATCAATATTCCTGCGTAAAATACAGGATCTTCTTTTTCAACGTGCATGTTATCTTGGTTGAAAGCTAGTTCCCCATCGACCATATGAACGCGTTGACAACTACGGCACCGTTAACTTCAAGTCATTTCACATTGTGTTACCTGATGACATTAGTTGTGAACAAATGGCATCAGCCTGATCTTCTGAGTTATTTGCATCACAACCACTTTTGAGCGTTGATCTGATCAACCAATCTAAAAAGCAAAGTGAACTTACCCAACACGAAACGAAACCGAAATACACCGTACGGAACAAACTTAATCGGTGCGAAACGAAAGTGAAATAAATCGTACCAAAGCAATACAAACTTAATTGGCGCGAAACGAGAGCGAAATAAACCGTAACAAGGCGGAACGAACAAACCAAAGCAAAACTGAAACGAATTAAACCGAACCTCAGCAAAACGTACAGGCTGAGCTGAATTAACATGAACCAAAACTGAGTGAAGTAAACTCAGACTAATAAATCAACGTAAACCTAAGCTAAAATCAAATAAAATAAAACAAAATAAAAATCCCCTAAACAAATTTAAACGTTTAAAAGACTAACAAAATCAATCAAATTAACAAGGTACCTAACAAATGGTTCTTAACACAATATGTATATGTATGGATTCAATGAACTAATGCACTTGATTATAAGCATATACATACAGATATAGGGAACATATTAAAAGCATAAAATATATAACTAGGAATTGTACAATTTTTCCATTCGTTTGTCTAAAATAAGTTTACATGTTTTGGAACATCAATTGGCTATCACAGTGCAAGATAATATAAAACTAGTTTTAGTGATATCACAGGTCAGCTCTAGCCCTCAGCCCAGAGGGTTGTACCGACTCTCTGTGGCCATCCCATGTTATTCCGTTCTTGTAAATAAAATTGTGATTAGCTTCTTGTGACTTCGGACTCTTTGCTGAGTTAATTCCCCCAAGCAGACCAGCAGACAGACAGACAGACAGACAGATATTTTATTTCAGTCTCACCTCACATAAAATACATATATAAATATATTTATAAAATATAGCATATAAGTGAGCCACCCTTTAAGGGTTATGAGAGACTAATGTATTAATACATTATTAATACTAAATAGTAAATAATTATATAGGTACATACAGTGTAAAATCTATCCGTATAAAATATGTTAGATAAGGGGTTTCACCGGAACCATCACTTGGACCCAAGACCCATATCATAATACATGTACCCATACTTACCTACTCATCGCTGCCTGGGACTTCTGCCAGTAATTTAAAAACAGAGCCTAGCAAACTTCATTTTCTTACTACTACTGATGTCAGTTAAGTTTATTTGCATTCCTTCTCAGTTAGCTATTTTTCAAAGAGAATAGGGTATCAAGGAACAATTCATAAATTTACATTGCAAACAAGATAGAAAATATCTGATGAAAACATTACAGTGCTCATAACAGCCAAACTGTAAATGCTGTAAGATTTGATTCATGTGAGACAGTTTGTGATAAATGTGATAATATTGGCACTGACCCCAGAGATTAACATGATTATCTCTTTCTCACCCACTGATTTGTACAGGGACCTTCACTCCAACCAGCCACCTTTCCATCCGATCGAATAAGAACCATTTTTGAATGTGTTGCACCCCTGAAATAGAGAAATGCAGATGAAAATAAATGAAACATCACAAAACAAATAATTACTATTTATCTGTACATACTATATCAGTGAAAGTGTTTTGTCTTTAAACAATTACTCCATTACATTGAATTAAACATAACTACTTTTCAGCAACAGTATTTAAATCTGAGGACTTAAAAATCCTAACATTTAACATGAGGGTCATGACAAGGAGCCTTTTACTTCATCCTTAATTTCAAGCACTACCAGTACACAAACCCTCTCAATGGCACTCTACCTCCTAAGTTTCCCTAAGACGCATGTCCGACTGAGTTGTGCCCTTCTGACATTGTATGGTATCTGGCTGCACCGTGTGTTGTGGTCTGTTTATAGTGTGCAGATACAGATCCATTTTGTTATTTATGAGAAATATATTTTTAGATGAGTGCCATATTGGGAAGAGCCTTTAATGTAAACAGCAGTTCTTTGCAGTGTCATTAAGACGTTATGGCCATATTGTGATATGTGTGGTTTCGATACAAATAGTATCTACACTGAAACTCATTGCAATAAAAAAAGTGACTATCCATAGAACTTGGTTTTCCTTCACCATTACAACTTCTAAAATGCCTCTCAAAGTAGTATCATAAAGGCGAGAATTTATGGATGTCATAAATTCTCACCTTTATGTGTATCACTTCTAAATGCTGTTCAAAGACTTCATAATAGTACAGTATAAGTTCTCAGATGATATCAATCAACTAATATAGGAATATACAACAGTCAAAACAAGAGGCATAATGGTCATAAATCTAGATAGTTAATGATGTTTCAGCATCGATTATGTGGATATGTCTGTGTGCATAAGGCGACATCCCTGTGTAGTTTACAGAAAAGCTCTCATTAAACAAACAACTTTCCCTTGCCTGTGGCTTTCTAAGATAAACTGACCTAGATCTACAAACACAGGGGCTTGTAAGTTGTATTGCTGAAAATAATGCATCTTCGGCCAAACATTCGTTCACTAATAGCCATTATATAGAAATTTCGTTCACTGATAGCCATCTACATAGAAATTTCTATGTAGATGGCTATCAGTGAGTTAACGAGTGTTGGACCGAGGGCGTATTATTTTAAGCAATACAAGCCCCTGTTTTTACAACAGTATCACTATATGACCTATCTTAAACATCCAGATATGCATACGCCTATTGTTGTTTGCATATATTTTAGTGTCCATGAGGTAACTATAATACTGACCAACTCTGTTTTTGGTTATCTTAATAACGATACTCAAAGTTTGTTGTCTACTTTCTAATTGCGTTTATTGATTTTTGTGTCAGTTCAGTGACGAACAGTGGAATACTTAGAGATAGAAAACATTGGCATCACAACCAATTAATTAAAAAACGCTCAATTATAAAGGTAATACAAACCCTTCGATGCCTCCATAGTACTCAAATTCGTCACCAGACATTTTTGCAACACCCCCTGTACCGCTCCTGTGTCAAAATTCCCAAATGACTTGCAGACGATTTTCAGGTGACTAGCTCCAGACAGCGACGTCGCTCCGTACCCTCAAACATCGAGGAATGTTGCACGCGCTGTTAAAGAGTACCTGACAAGAAAGCATTTTCTAACCAACAAATCTTTCTTTACGTGATTTCATCGTATAATACTGAATGTTTTTGTCTTTTGTGAGACTTTATAAAAATGTTTAATAATTGTTTTTAAAATAATACTTTGTAATTATGACAATTAGTGTGTGATCCATATGTAACTTTGAAATTTAAATGTATATAAATAAGTATATGAGTAGTTGATAAAGTAGTAGTATAAAGAAAAGGCAACTCTCATTGATTTTGCAAACTTCCGTTTCAATCGCCACACAGTTCCGCAAACAAACAGCCGTGCAACGATCCACCACTCACTGCCAGGTAGTATTTGTTTGGCTTTTTTCGTAACATCTGATGTTCATCTCGTGACCGATCGAACTGATTCTTGTAGGTAGACTGGCGCGAAGGAAGCCTTTTCTAAACCTTCAACTCTGAACAATGCTAGTGATCAGCTGTTCATAACAAGACAGACGGAGCAGTCTCGGATCTGTCAATCTGTGACATGGACTGACAGTGATATCATTTCGGTTAACAAGGATATCGATTATGACACATGTACTTCCAAAATCATGAGTCTTACTGAAAATTATATTGTCTGTCAAAGTAGCATCTGTCATCAGCATTTTAGTGCAGTTCTCGTAATCAGGTTTGCATTTTTGGGGCACATAAATTCGCGACGATAAAAATATGATTGTTCATAATTGCAATGTCTAGATGTTTGGTTAGGAGTACTACAGGCAATTCTGCAAAGTACTGGTTGCTTATGTTATGCACCAATTCAGATCTATACAGACTTGAGGTCCCTGAAAAGCCTTCATTAATTAGTGTCAACTTTGAGAATCCTTGATACCTGCGGAGATCAGGGTTAGAATTGGTCTTCAGCAGCCCATGCTTGGTTGATACAAGCCATTGTATCCCAAAAGAGTAGCTTGATGCTCATGATGTTGATCACTGGATAGTCTGGTCCAGACTCAATTATTTACAGACCGCCACAATGTAGCTAGGATATTGCTGTGTGAGGCGTTCAACAACAGCAAAACAAAACAAACAAAGTAAAACATGTAAATAGCTAAAATATCTTGAAAGGCCTTGAATTTGTACAAAATTACAAACTTTGCAAATTTACTTGTACATGTTTATTAAGTGGGTATGGGTTTTGGGTTCGAATATTTTACTTGTTAATGGTAAAAGTCAACCCTGACCAATGCTGACCCTTACTCACAACTGCCCCTGATCAATCAGAAAACAGCATCTTTCATTCAAAATATGTACACATTTCCCTTACCTCAACCCAGCAAACTCTTAGATATAAGAAATAAAGTAAGCTATTCAGCGTTATAGAGGATCTTTAACTCTTATTTTGAGAAATACTAACATATTCTTCATATTTCATGGTCTAAGACATTATGTCATAAATGGTATGAATAGACACAATAGCAAAATGTACTCTCTGTTTGCAGGGATTGAGGATATGATCAAAAGTTTACAGGCACAGAGTTGTGTGCTGCCAGTTCAAGAAAAGTAGATCATTGTTATTCATGATGCCAAAGAGATCTGTGGTGGGTCAGCCCTCCTCAGCCAAGTATCATAAGCTGACAAGAGCAGGGGCGATGGATATATTGACCTTCAGGTAAGGTAGAAACATTATCCTGATCATGCTGATGCAAACACTGTATTTACTAAACTGAAAATGAAATTGCAATAAATCATATGTTCTTGAACTTTGAATACACAATGTTATATAGAAAGCGGTCAAATGTAACACATATTGTAAATTTGTATCTGGGATGACACTTTCTCAGTAAAGTAGATTGTAGCACTTTTATTGGGTTGTCCCATCCAGGATTTGAACCCACACCCTCACATTCAGGCAGCTATTCGCCAGCACACAGCTGTCTAACCAACTCAGCCACTGCTGCTTGTTGAAGCTACGGTGGCTGAGTGGGTCAGATGGCTGATTTTTTGTGCTGGCAATTAGGTGTATGACTGAGGGTGTGGCTTTCGAATATGTACCATGTTTTCTCACTATATTTTTTAGTCCTGCCAATTGAATTTAACTACCGCTCATTTTTCACATCTGTATAAATGTTATACAACAATACAGCTCAGCCAGTTGATTGATATATTAAACGGTCAGGTCCTTTCCTCCAATACAGTACCCCTCTGATCTAACAGCAGATCCATAGAAACTTTAGTGAGGTGAATTTTCCTACCTCCCAGACAGTGTTCAAGCTTATAAATTCTTATGTGAATGAAACATATTCCATTTCTCAGTTTCAAAAATGAGTATAATTGGGAAGTTACAAATGCAAACAAATAAAGCAGCAGTGACATATTGTTGTTGATATTAATGTGTCCTGTTTTTGAGGATTGATGTGGCAAAAGAAAAGTGTGTACATTCAAGATAGATTTGTGGTCTTTTTCTCTTTACTTTCACAAACTCTGAATCAAGGTGATGGCAGAATCATTAATATATCTAAATGGCTCAAGACATCATGCAGTTTGCTCAGGGTACCAGTTCATGTAGCTTTTATGAACCTTGATAATGATGAGAGTGTCCTATGATTTTTCTTGCAGAGAACTATCATATACATAATATAGGAGTAAAAGATGTTAATGAGATTTTTTAGTATACCAGAAAAGAATAATATTTGATTTGAAAACTGTTCTATTTATAATCCTGATAAAATCCAAGCAATAACTTCCATGTATAAAGGAGAGGAAAACCTACAAAACAGAGAAGGGAACATAAGTGTGATCTGTGGTCACATGATAACTATGATAGCTAAACGTTAAACACAAAACGTTTCCAGTGTCAGTATCCTCATTGTCCAGAATATTCTGTTACTCATTTCTAACACTAAAAGAAAAAGAATAAGTATAGTTCTTGTATCGTGGTCAAATTGCTATGATACTTTTCAGAAAAGAGTGAGATTATGTGATCTGGTGGAAATCACGTGACTATAAAGTAGGGATGCCACGATTCAGCAATGCATGGATACTTTTATTGATACATTCAAAACTGTATTGATATTTAGTTTTGAAAGTATCAGTTTAAATATGTTTATGTATCGTTTACATTGTGTAGTTGTATCCTGTTGTATGTTATGAGAGTTATAAATGATTATTTTTCATGCACAAAGATGGGAAATTAGAACTTTTTAATCTCTGAGAATAAAAAATGTTGATCTTGTCATGGACAATTATAAAATATGAAATATTAATGTTCAAAATGTAACTAAATTTACGCAATAATGCTTTGAAAATAGGTGTTGTGATGCGTTTCGAATCGTGACATGGGTATCGTGATACGCATCGATTCATGAAACTTATGAAACTTATGTATCATGACATCCCTACTATAAAGGGGAGATAACTGTGTCGGGTGGAGCAGGTTGGAAGGTCAAACAGTGTCGCTGTGGGTTTTCCAAGCAGCAGCAATTGCGTCAGAAAACAGTTTCCATTCAGATGACACAATTAACCCACAGAAAAGAATATTTACTGTGTTAGAACCGTATATGTAATGAGTGATCATTGATACAGATATTTGCAGTGGTGACAGAATATGTTGCCATTGGTTACAAAATATGTTTAAATGAACCCTGCCATGGATGATAGAGTGTAGCTTTATGATGGTTATGATGATAAACATGATATATTACTGCTCCTCTGATGACTGATAATCATCCATCACTTTTAATGTGTACATGATGTGCATATGCGATATTATTCCAGTTCGAGCGCCCTCCTCCCAAGATTCCCTACAAAGCCATCTTGTTGGCAACAGGCTTGTTTGTGGCAGGGAGTGTTCTGATTGTTGTCGGTGCTCTTCTTCTCAGTGGCTACATCAGTCCGCAGGTAGGTCCATAGTTGCACAGTCCCTCAACTGCATTCTTTTCCCTTCCTTCAGCCCAGCCCTCTTTGCAAGTCCTAAATGTAGTATCTCACTGGGGCTCCTTTTCAATTTAATAGGAGTTATTTGTTTCTATCAAATTTATATATATTTAGACTTCAGAGCAAAAGCGTTACTCTAGAAGGTCACCAATGAAATAGGTTTAAATTTAGGGACTGTTAATAATTCATGGTTGGGGAAGGAGTGGGGGGTGGAGGTGGTTGGGGGGGTGTCCTCCCATTTGTGAGAACTCCCAGTTGTGAGACACATTAATTAATGGTTCAGTGCACATAGGTGGTGTTTCCACATCCCTACAATGAAAGTGGGATCAGCCCAGTTGTTGAAGAGTACCCACAGGAGTCATTGATGAGTTGATTAATGAAATAGATTATCAAAGATTCTATTTACACAGAAGAAATAGACTATTATGAAGTTTGAAAGTCATTTTGGTTTAAACATATTTTATTATTATTTATGAAATTGAGTTGGGATTGGCGAGCAAGCATTACTGCTTATGTTAACACCGCTCCCATGCAACATAAAATACAACATGAAATGGAGGATTTGACGTCATCGATATTGACTATTGCATAAATATATGTTTAAGTATACATCAGACATGGGTTCAATTACTTTGAAATGTAATTAATTAAATTACAATTACTTTGATTTTCCTCAATTACAATTACAATTACAATTACACATTAAATCAAAATGTAATTAATTAAATTACAATTACATTACCAATGTAAATTAATTACAATTACAAATTATTTTTAAAAAAAACACACACAACAAAACAGATATATTTCTAACTTGTTTGAGTGGCATTTTTAGAAGTTGAGACGTACAATATGGAACACGTTTTTATGGATAACAACTTCTTTATTTCGTGAGTGCGACGTTTCGATACAGATTCTTGTACCGTTGTCAAGCAAGAGTGATACATGAAGTGGAGGAGCTGCATATATATACTGTATATAATATAGATATATTTCTGTATTTCTTTAATCAACAAGATATAGATGTTTGCAAGCAGTGGTCACTAAATCCAATTCACACTTTTGTCACCAAAAGGTGAAATGCAAAATTAGGATTGTGTGTTAGATAAACATAAAACAGGTTTCATTCTAGGTTGTTTTTTTTTCATGTGTCCATTGTGTTCATTGTCATTAGTCAGGCTTGACACAGATTTTCTTCAGGATATGTCCATTGGACTTGATCATCATCAATGTCTGAAAGGTTGTGCTGTTCAGCCTGCATCTCTCAGGCCTGAATGTCTTCCCTGCAACACTGAATAGCCTCTCAACTGGTGCTGACGATGCAGGTATAGCTAGGTATTTCTTGGCAAGTTCGCTAAGGATAGGGAACACATTCTTCTGTTCCTTCCAAAAATGCAGGGGTTGCAGTCTTCCTCGCTGGTTGGCTGTGCCAGATATTCCTTGACCTCCTGTGCTGCAGGCACTGATGGCCTGACTATTGGTTGGCTCTTCATGTAGCTGAACAATTTGGCTCTCTTCTTTGGTGGTGACTGCATATCAGCTTCTTCATTGGATACGGTTCTAGGAGTCTGTACTTTTGAAATCAGTCTATTTGTGACTCTTTTGGTTTCCTCTTGACTACTGCACCAGTTCAGCTTGAACCTTGGGTCTAGGGTGGTAGCCATCACATACCCATCGTTTGATTCGTATGGGGAAAGTCTCTTGATGACAGAAGCTCTTAAGGCGGCAACCAACTTGCAGTTGTATTTTGATGTCATACTTTCAGTCTGAGATTTTAATCCTTTCACACATGGCACAACAAGACTCGCTGTAACAATGTTCTGTCCCTGCACAAGATCTGTGGCCTCTGCAAATGGTGTCAGAATGTCGGCAATGTCAGACAAAATGTTTCTCTCATATTTCGTGAGACTTGAGGCATGTACTTTTTCTAGTTTCTCCTCTGGGACATCCAGGATGGATTTTATCCTCCGTATCATTGCATAAATATATGTTTAAGTATACTATACATCAAATACAACTACTCTCTAAGTAGTCATAATTAGAGAGTTACAGTTGTGTGTGTCTAACAAGCTATTGTAGGAATAAAATATAATATAAATTAATCATGACAAGGTTGATGAGTTAATTTAAGTATCCACCTGAGAAAATTTGAAGCGTTGTGTCTTGATGATATAATTTTGGACAGATTCAACTACTTTCTGGTTTACACAAGGAGTAATTCTTTGTTTCCGTTCAATATGGTATCCAGGTTATAACGTGTAGTGCCGGGTAAAATGGATTTGGCATAAGAGGCAGTTCGACTGTAAACTTGTATTTCAGAGTTATTTCTTAAACTATATCTTGTAGTTTCGGAGACGGATGTAAATCTGAGTAGGTAAATTAATTTCTCTTTCAAATGATCACGAAGTTACCTACACAAAGTGTATGTTAATCAATTTATCTTATAAAGTTTCATTAAGACTTCCACAAGATTCAGTTACATAGCAAATCAGTAATTAGCTAGGGTTAATCCATTCTATCAGACAGGGGAGTATGGTGTGTTTTCTTTGTTAATTACCTACTCCACTGTCTCATAACTGGGAGTCTCACAATTGGGAGTTTTCACAAATGGGAGTAGACCGGTTGGGGGGTGGGGGAAATGATAATTGGGGGCGTTATTCTCATTGACGTCAATCATCATCATGAACAGTCACACGATACACAAAGTTCTATCATTTGTTCAGGATGCTGTTTTCTTAGTATTAATAGTAATTCAAGCATAAATATACCATTGATGTGAAATATGTTGATTTCTGTTTCAATTTTTCTCAGTTTTTCACAAAGTTACTTCTCTGATGTTTATCAATCATTGATCGATATTTAGTTAAGAATATTTATCAATCTCTATGATCTTTACCTTTAGCCAGCCCGAGTAACAGTGGTAGTGTATATGGTTTAATTCTGTAACAAAGCAGTGTGAATGGTTGAAATGCTGTAACAGTTGACTAATGTAACCGAGTCCTTGCTACACCTGAATTACATTGTGTTACAGTACTCTGACAGAACATGGCCGGTACTGATCTTGGGTGCGTTGATGTTCATCCCCGGTGCGTACCACGTCCGGCTTGCATACTATGCATACAAGGGCTATGCAGGATATTCGTATGAAGACATTCCAGAATTTGAATGAAACATGAACTTCTCTTCAGTATTGCCTGGTCGGCTCAGATCTCTTCACTTACCTCCCTTTGAACACCTATTCTATCTCAACATGGTGTGCATGGAGAACATCTGAATTAAAATCTAAACATTATTTATCAAAATGGACATGTGGGTGTTCATTTTGTACGGGTGTATCTTTGAGAAAGTGAAAGAATTTCTTCCCGACCTTTTCTGTGGCTTTCTAAAGTCACAATTTCTCCATGCATTTTAACTAGAATGGGACATCTTAGACATGCATGGTCCTCATGGCGTTTCATTGGTCATCTAGAAAGGATTAATCATTATGGACATATCATACGGAACAAATGTATATATATGTCAGTGTCATGTTATGACTGTCTTCATGTCTTTATGTTGGTTTCCATGTATGCAATTACAGGCAGATGTTATCAGAATGTATTTATTATGAAGTCGTCAGAGATCCTATGTGGGTTTTTCGTAATTTTTCCAATGAAATATTTGGACATGATTTATTGACTGGTAATTTATCATGAGATGGATGTGAATACGTTTGTGTCATAAAAAAGATGGTTACTCAATAGGGATGGCTGGAGATTGCTTCCATGAAATGTGATAAAAGTGCTAAAACTGATCCTGCCATCCCGCCCTGATAGATTACCAGTTCCATATTTATACTTTGGTTTATTATTTTGAGGGGGAAGTAATGCTTAGTTGAGATCAATACAGTTTTATGTTTTACTTTGCTCGTACTACTGTGCAACTTGTTTGATCAACATGATCAAAAAATGTTTTTAGCATTACGATCAAATGACATGTTTTTACTTCAGTAACTGATAATCAAACACGTCAGCTGTATGTAATAATTACCTTGAGTGAGAGGAATTAACATCCTCAATATATGAACTGGGTATTAAGGGTGAAACTAATCATTGGTGACTTCATGCAACGATACAATACACAATATGGTGGGTTTTTTCTGCATCAATATAAAAAAGATACACCTGTTAAAATAAATTATTTGCAACTCCTTCAATGACTCTCCAGTGTTTTGTTAAATGATGAAAAATGTATTTTGAATAGAAATTCACTACTGCAAGTAGCCACTACAAATATGTTTCTACCAGCTTTTCCTTTTTGAACTTGCTTTGGAATGTTTATGGTCAAGAAGTTTCTTTATTATTAGATGCAAATATGTATATCAATAAACATGCATATTCTGTCTTTATGCGTGATGATGGGTATGTTTTCACCTCAACCAGGGTCCAGAAGGCTATATTCACTCAGAACATTTATACCATTAGTATTTTATCTTCTGTCAAGTGAGCTTTTGAACATGGTTGTGACAAGTACTGGCTGACAAGTACAAGTACTTGTGGAGACTTATGGGTTAAAGGACAGACGTTCCAAGAACTGCATGGGATAAAGGAAGGAAATACCAAACACTGCATCTAATAACGGAGTGTGTAACCTACTTTGAATAGTGAAGAAAGTCATCTGTGAAGTTCCAGATATAGTTCTCTGTGAGACTGAACCACAGTATTTCTAGCTCACACAACGACTTTGAAATGGTCCTCTCATCATGTTAATTACTAACAATTATATGGCATTAAATGGTATGATGTCAAAGTCCACAGTACTTAAGTAATATACACAAACAAACTTAATTAAGTACCCCCTGTATTTTTGCAAGGATAGGTTTTCAACATGTCCATAAAACCTTTCGTGGTGACCTCGATGGAAAAACATGAGTTTTTCTGACCCATGTGATCCTTTGACTCATAAAAATATGACAAAATGATAAGAATCCATGTTGAGTTTATGATGATAATTGCCAGTGTATGAAATAAAGCCCGTCCGACCGCCCGAGACGGTCCAGATTTCTTCCAGACGGTCTAGTTTTATAGCTAGCCAGCCCGATGGATGGGTGAATTTTTTTTTCAGATAACATGTTCACAGGCACTGTCTATTTAGTATTTAAAAAGGACTGGTTAAATCTCTTCTGGGCTGGTCAGGTTTTGAAGTTACCAGCCCAGATGGCTGGCTGGGTTTTTGGCTTATTTCATACACTGTAATTGCTCATTTTAAAAAAAACACTTATTTTCATACAAAACCATGTCTGTACAAGTATGGCCCTGGAATGTTTAATGTTGAATTTATTGGTCAATGTGAACATTCAAAATGTCATTTTGCATGTTTTACACGATTCAAGGTCAATACCGAATGTAACCTCCAGGTGACTGTATGACAGCCAGCACTCTCCTCCTCATACCCCCTGTCAGCCTCCTGATCCTCTGAAGGGGCAGTCTAAGCCATTCCTCGTGTAAAGGAGCTTCCCAATGGGCCAGGTTCTGTACAGGAGGACCCCTTTGTTGTACATGACAACCAATCATGTCCCACATATGCTCAAAAGGGTTAAGATCGGGGCTCATTCAATTGTGAGATATGTCAAGGGGTGCTTAACTAAGTTCCTTGTGTATATGTACATGTATTGCAGTGCCAAATAATCATTTGAATTAGCATAATAGCTTCTAGTCATTCTATGTAATCCAGAATGAATATTGATATAAGGAACAAAACACACCCATGAATTTCCAGCTTAGAATGTGCCTTCAGTAACCCATGCTTGTCGTAAGAGGCGACTATAACGATCAGGGGGTCATATGTCATCTGTTCCCAATTGGGCAGATTGATGCTCATGCTGTTGATCACTGGATTGTCTGGTCCAGACTCAATTATTTACAGACCGCCGCCACATAGCTGGAATATTGCTGAGTGCGGCGTAAAAATAAACTCACTCACTCACTCACTCTAATATGTAGGAAATATCGGGGCAAAGCTGACCATTCATTTCCAGGAATCCATGCCACGATGTATTGTGCAATATGTTGTAGAATTCCTGTTATGTTCTTGTTGGTATGTGTTTGTAGTATGTCAAAATCTTATGCTGGCCCACTGTATATAGAACCTCACTCTGCTTCAAAGCACAGTTCAGACACATACTTTTTTCCCCATTAATATCTTGACATCTCCCCCTTTTCATCCTCCTGGATTTACCTCAGGTCATTCCATTAAGCAATCTTAGTGCTAAGATGGTTGTAACTACCATACTATGACATACACATGTACATGTCAGTCGTTGCCCTAGGAACACTTTGTGGAACTATTCTTGCTATAAAACAGTCTACCTGAGTAATATCTTTATTAATTCGTAAGAATGAGTCGAAGTGAAGTTTATTATTGTATTATTTTAGGTTATTATTAAAGCAAGTGATAATTCACATTAGTATTGTAATATCAGGGACCGGGGGTGGGGGTGGGGGGTGATGATGAATTTTATGGAGAAGCATGTACAATGTGAGTGACCCCCCTAAAATTTATGTACAAAGTAAGTGACCCCCCTGCATGTCATGTACAAAATCAATGAAATCCCCCCTCCCCTTCCCATATTTTTTAAGCATAATTTTTTAATAATGTTGTGTACAAAATTGATGACCCCCTAGTACATGTGTACAAAATTGATGACCCACCCTACCTTACCAGAACAAAATGGGTGACCCCCCCCAAAATAATCATCTCAACCCAACCCACCCCACCCCCACCACCCCCAAAACCATTGATTATGAACGTTCCTAAAAGGGTATTTGTTGTGTTAGTGTCTTTTCACTAAGTAATTAAAGATTTGACTGGTGGGGTTTGTTTGTTAGATAATTGTGTTGTGACTTGTATACTGTACAAGACAACTGTCAGCACAATCAGTGTAGTAACTGACATATCCTTCATTTCAGTAGTGTGGACCTGCATAAGGACATGTTTCCTGAACCAAAACATGTTCAAATCTGATCTACATAATAATAATGGCCATTTATAAAGCACCTGTTTCCATACTTGTGCATGCTAATGCATTATTACCACGGATAAACCAAGCTGCCTTTGAGGCACCAGGAGGTAAGCAGTAATATGACTTATCCCATCGGGTACCCATTCACTGCTGGGTGAACAGAGGCAGTTTATGAACAAACTTACTTGCCTAGGTGAGACCAGATGTGTCATGTGTGCTTCGTTGAGGGGCTAGACTGAAGTCCTAGAAAGTGTCAGGAGTCAAGCTCCCAGACACCCCTTTCAAGGATTCTCTGCAACTATTTGCTTAACATTTCACATGATTTGTGACATCTTCACAGCTAGGTTTATGAATTGTTTGCTTTTGCCAACCATGAAAGAAACTGTCAGTGATCACATATTCTTTCAGTCTTAAAGAGCCTCTTACAGTAACATTGCTTGAGCGCTTCCAGCAGTATTGTCTACCAGCTATGTCTTGGTGTGGCTGATTAATTTTGGAGGAAATCTTGAATCGATACAGGCCTCGGACGATGGTGAAACCCCAGAGTACAGGAATGGCTCTGATTCGAAGCTACTTCATACGTTTCTGCCCAAGCATGACTTGCACAACAAAGTATGGTCCTTAGACCACTGTGCGCCCAGGTTCTCTAGGCATGAGAAATATGGCCATTAAGATGATATTATTTATTGTACATAAACTCAACTATGTAGTGATTCTCAGTGTTTGACAGTGTTTTACCATGAATAAAAGAGGGAAATGTCTAGTTTGCTTTATCTGTATTTTTGTCAGGAATTTCCAACATCCAGGTTGTTTCATTAGACAGGGCTTGCGTGGGATTCCAGATATGTAACTAGCTTTGACTTGCTGCACTTGGCTGTCTCTTCCATGGTGTGATTTACTGTTCAAAGTTCCTTTAAACTCAGTTCAGGCATCCCGACATCAGGACACAGGGGTCGGGTGTTCAGTCTCGCTGACTTGTCTGACACATGTCACTGAATGTCATTTTATCCTAATTGCTTAGATCGATGCTCGTGATGTTGATCACTGGATTTTCTGGTCCAGACTTGATTATTTACAGACCACCGCCATATAGCTCAGCTGTTGTTGAGTGCTGTGTTCACCAACAAATAAAAACACAGGGATGGACCTGCACTGAAAACCCTGCATTAATTGGCATCTACATGCACAACCAGCACTCCCCGTCCTAAATCCACCCTCCACGCTCGGAACTTAAAAAAATATTTTCACATGGGACACAGTTTTCGTAAACACTCGCACCTCACGGACAATTCTATAAATGATAAACTGCAATACACCTGAAGGCAACCTTATAACCCATTTTAATTAGCATTGCAATATATAAAGGAGGGTTTATAAAAAGAAATTATAGCATCATTCCTAACAAATAGGCCCCGTCAATGTCTCTGATACATCCCTTTCACTTCTGTAAGAATAAGTGAGTGAATATAGTTTTAATCTGATTTAACCCACACCATGGTGGGGACACAAGAAATGGGCTCCACATGTACCAACGTGGGGAATAGATTTAGGGCATTCCGACAGCAAACGCATAACCCCTAGGCTATCCCAGAGCCATATTCTCTAGGAAATGATCAGTAAATTTCGAAAGCTGGGCTGACTGACTGACAAATTTCTGTCAGCTAGGGATGCATGATGTACCCATGAAGCAGAACGCGAAATGATATTTTGAATCATCTCACTGCGTGTTTACATCATGAATCACCACAGCTCCACAACACCACAGCTCCACAACGTAATGAAACAGCTCGCAATTCCTAACTGAAACCGAAATAAAGTTGGATATACTGCTGTGTCATGTATCATTGCAAATGTGTTACATAGCTGCAAATGATCAAATATGGTTTGAGTACATTAGTAATATTTCCTGTACCATCACACATACGAAAATTGAAGTCAGCTATGTGTCACAGTCATTAAGAACTTTGTTAAGAGAGACAAGGCGAAACATTTAATTTTTTTTTTACAGCATGGACAAAAACGCATCTAAAATACAGTTAAACTTTTTCTGCCCTTTCACTGTATTTTCAATGGGAGGAGACGTATGAAGATACTGCAAAGATGTTATGATAATGTATGCTTGCTTTTAAATAATTACTGATGAAAGATATCGGTATAACCTTTGACCACTACGTAGACCCAGGAAAAGTATCACCCGAGAAAAGAATAGAACTGTAAAAGAATAGTTTATAAAAACCGTTAACCATAAAATACACGAGGGGCCTAACAGTAGTCAGTGAATAGTCGTTTGAAAGTATAAAACTGAGCGCTTCCTTTACATGTGTGGAAACTATATCGGTGTGATTCATCCGGAAATAAAGTATGAATAACTGACAGACTGACAAATAAATACCAACGCGTTTGAGCAGTTGTATTGAGAGCAACCATGAAGCAGCATCATTAGTAGTGTCTCTCATCCAGAGAGGCAAGTGGGTACCCTAGGTTCCATACAGAGAACATCCTGAAAAGAAGATAGAAGAGCTGTATTTTGTACACATTTAGTCCTATGTAGCGTTGTCATTTCATTGTCATGTTAATGTAGAAAACAACGAGAAAACATCATTGTGACGTTGGGATCCATCGTAGGACGGGGTTGTTATAATCTGTCTCCTGCATACTTCTGAATTTTGACATCACATCTCACTGAGGAGCCGGAAAGAATATTGACGCCATGCAGCATGAAGTGTTCCGAGTTCACATCAGTGGCAAGGACGGCGCAGCCAAGAGATGCCATCTCGGAGGAGATTACCAACTGGTTGTCAAAGACTCCAGTCTGTGTCTGTGCGGTTCGAAGCTGGGCCAGGTCATATATGAATGGCCGTATCCACACATAAGATGTTACGGATATACGGGCAAGGCTTTCAGTTTTGTGGCGGGTCGGTCCTCCTGTTCGGGAGAAGGCATGATTTCTGTCAAGACAGAAGATGGGTTTGCAATAAACAAATCAGTCCACGAGAAGGTTCAGCTTATGAAGACAAACACAGATTTGAAACATCATCGAAGGACTACACATCGATCAGGTATGAGATATATGTTTATCCAGGGGTGAATGAACACATATTCACATATTCTCAACAGGAGACTGACAATCTAATTTTTACTGAAACCAGATGTTTCACTATATTTTAGAAGTTTATAGGGATGGGGGTAGTGCAGCTTTTGCATGACATACAACGTATATTCCCAAATTATTCATACCAAATGAAATGTTCTGGTTTAAGACTAAAAAACCCAACATTCTTACATTGTGAAAAAGCTGAGGTTGGATGATTGATTATTACATTTTCACAAGAAATGCTTTTGAACGGACCCTTCAGCCATACACTGGTGTATCTTAACATTTTGCAAATACGGTATCCCATGCGCGTTTCGAAACACAAATGGTAGGGGCTTTATTCATAACTTAAGGTTCTGTGAAAGAATGGTTGAAGAGGAATGTTTCACTATATTGACATGATAATCACACGTGTTATTTTTCTCACAATCAGGACCCCTGTCACTGCCAGGTGTTCGTGTACACAGACGGCGTAAGAAGAAGAGGAACAGCGGGTGTCACGGAGGTGAATTCGTTTACAGCGAACCGTACAGTTTAAGTACAAGGTGCGTTTACTCTGAACCGTACAGTACAAGTACCTTCTTCACTACATGTCATGATTACTTATCGATGGATGGGACGGCATCACGGAATGCTAGTGATTGTTATGTTGGTGCTGCTGCTGTTGCTGGCAATGATGAATATGCTGAACTGTACGATGACTGCGCGGGAAGAAACAACGAATACACGAAACTGCACCGTGATGACACAGAATCATATGGTGGCGGTATTTATGAAACTTTGAAACCAGTTACACGTGTACGAGTGACACGTGCAGCTAAGGGACAACTACTGTAGTCACGGTATCACAGGTATTTCAATAAAACATCAAAAGGAACACGGGTGGCGGGGTCATCCGAGGAATCGCAAATCGCTGTGTAGAGTTACGCCCCTTTGGCACGCCAGGAACCTATGATCATGGGATCGAATCCCGGTTTGTCACGATTGTTTCTAGGTCTGTAACCACCATACCAGTGCGCATGGTTTTTACCAAAGTGCTGGACTCCAAAGACCTGCATCATTTCGGTCTTTTCCTCCCGCATTACGCTGGAACGCCCTGATGTAACGGGAATATTGTTCAACGCGGCGTCAAAACGTACTCACCTATATATATACAACAATGCTTGAGGCGTTGATATATATTCTTGTTTTATTTTATCATACCTCAGTAGTTCGAGCAATGGTTATACTCCATTGTCTGACATTTGTACATAAAGACTTTATCGTTTAAATATATCCTTTTCGTATTTACATTCATATATATGCGGCGTTGTTTCGTTGTTGGAGTTTTACATTTACATTTACTTATTAGTATATATACGTGCTGTTTACGTGGGTATTTGTTCCGTATCGACTCAAATGACAAACGAAAGGGTTATCTTGTGTTTCGTGTCAAAATGTTTTGATTTAAGATACTACACTATACTCTCCAACAAAAGTAACTGATTTATTACGCACTTGTATAAACGTATTGTAATTGTTACACATTTGTTTACTTATTTTCATGGCAAAAGTGGAACAGCCCTTCGTTTAAACAACACTTGTCTGATCAGCTGAGGGAATTTTTTTTGTGGCAATGAAATTCAATGGTTGACATCATCAAGTACTGCGCTTTGCTGGGTAGTTAAACGTTCGCTCGTCAAGCCGAATGCTAGGGTTCGAGTCCGAACAAGGATGCACTGTTGAAGCCAATGTCCGATTTGCCGGTGATATTAACTAATATTGTTAAAGCAGAGAAAAACATATTCGCTCATCCACCTTTCCAGTCACTGAATGTTATCAGCCCGATTCAGCAGTTTGTAAAGTTTAGAATTTGAGAATTAAAAATGTTGTGTCAAATAACTCTGAAAGGGTTACGATAAGTCATCAGCACGAATAAATACATGAGAAAACTCTAGAAGGTTTGGGAGAATATGGTTATCGAAAAATATAATGTCATCAATACACACAGGTAATATATAAAAATATTAGTCAGCATTTTACTTCACCGGTAGATTGAGTGTTAAGCCCAATGGAATCTGTTTCGAGACTGAATGTTTTCTGGCCTTGGCGCTTCCTACTATAGCGTTGATATTAATAACTGTTCAAAACGCGAGCTTTAGGGCGAAATTTTGATTGACTTACGGCACATAAACTGATGACATAGAATATGTACTTCATGCCGGAATGATATACTTAAAAGGTCAGGTGAGGGCGCATGGGCACCCTGAGCAGTTGCCCTACCATCACATGGGCACCCTGAGTAGTTGCCCTACCATCACATGGGCACCCTGAGCAGTTGCCCTACCATCACAAGGGCATACTGAGTAGTTGCCCTACCATCACATGGGCACACTGAGTAGTTGCCCTACCATCACATGGGCACCCTGATCAGTTGCCCTACCATCACATGGACACCCTGAGTAGTTGCCCTACCATCACATGGGCACCCTGAGTAGTTGCCCTACCATCACAAGGGCATACTGAGTAGTTGCCTACCATCATCACATGGGCACCCTGAGCAGTTGCCCTACGATCACATGGGCACCCTGAGCAGTTGCCTTACCATCACATGGGCACCCTGAGCAGGTGCCCTACCATCACATGGGCACCCTGAGTAGCTGCCCTACCATCACATGGGCACCCTGAGTAGTTGCCCTACCATCACATGGGCACCCTGATCAGTTGCCCTACCATCACATGGGCACACTGAGTAGTTGCCCTACCATCACATAGGCACACTGAGTAGTTGCCCTACCATCACATGGGCACCCTGATCAGTTGCCCTACCATCACATGGACACCCTGAGTAGTTGCCCTACCATCACATGGGCACCCATCACATGCACCCCTCATCAGTTGCCCTACCATCACATGGGCACCCTGAGCAGTTGCCCTACCATCACATGGGCACCCTGAGTAGTTGCTCTACCATCACATGGGCACCCTGATCGGTTGCCCTACCATCACATGGGCACCCTGAGCAGTTCCCCTACCATCACATGGGCACCCTGAGTAGTTGCCCTACCATCACATGGGCACCCTGAGCAGTTGCCCTACCATCACATGGGCACCCTGAGTAGTTGCCCTACCATCACATGGGCACCCTGAGTAGTTGCCCTACCATCACATGGGCACCCTCATCAGTTGCCCTACCATCACATTTGAACACTGAGTAGTTGCCCTACCATCACATGGGCACCCTGATCAGTTGCCTTACCATCACATGGGCACCCTGAGTAGTTGCCCTACCATCACATGGGCACCCTGAGCAGTTGCCCTACCATCACAAGGGCCCAATGCTAATCAATGTATGTTGTGATTTGCTGTCAACAAGTCAATATACACTGCACTGACCCGGGTTCTCGGCGTTAAAAGCCAACGCTTTAACCACTGGGCTACCCCACCGTCCCCATAGTTTGGTAAAACGTTTTGTCCTTCACCTTTTTGATAATAAACCTGCGCAGTGTGATCTTTGAAATTCAATATTTTCAAGCAATATAACCGTGTTCCTAAAATCACCATTTTCTCCTCAAATCCACGCACAAAAAACTAAAACAAATTCATTATTAAATGATGTGGTGACGCGCACCAGTGAAGGTCCGTTTGACATCATGTAAATCGATCTTCGTATGGGACACGATGACCTGCACCGACAAAATCAACGCGCGTAAAAAACCAAACCCGCAAGCGAGAGGTCAGCTTTGTTTGCGGGTCACAATCTATCATTGACGTTTTCATAGGCAGGCCCTGTTTTTTCTTTGTATTTTGTCCCTGAATTTTCATTCGCATGTGTTACACTTTTAAATGGCATTGTGTATTTATACATAAAAGGGGTATTTTTTTCATTAGAAAAGTTTGGTAATACATTTTCAAAAACATGGGAACGGTTTTTATGTTTGTTTCTTACCATTAAATAGTAACAACTGCGATCTATTTTGTTTTTGGAACGGGAAAGGTGGACGTAAAAATGCTGCGAATATGCACACTCCATGCATTTGTCATTACACCCCCTCGTCCCATTAACCGGCATGTGTTCAGACGGTCTCAGGAAATGCCGATGAAACAAACATGTTTTGTGAATCATCTGTACAATACCCGTGAAGACCCTGGTTAGATTTGGTCTTCAGTAACCCATGTTTGTCGTAAGAGGTAACTAACGGGACTAGGTTGACACATGTCATCGTATCCCTGTTGCGTAGATCGATCCTCATGCTGTTGATCACTGGATTGTCTTGTCCAGACTTGTCGATTATTTACAGACCGCCGCCACATAGCTGGAATATTGCCGAGTGCATCGTTAAACGACAAACCAATCATCTGTACAACAGATCAGCCTGGTTACACTAACAGAACACCATGAATCACAAACACCTTGAACCAGTGACCAAATGTATCCGTGAGGCCCATGTCTCTGTTCAAACTACAAAGTTTAGGGACATGGTTTTGTATTGACAGGATCGTACTTTGATACGTCATTAATTCAAATTGCAGGGCTTCTCGATGTTTTTACAAAGATAAGCGGATTAGGAATCCTAGTCAATATGTTTGGACGCTATGTACTGTATTTCATTGATGCTGGTCCCAAACGTATATCACTTCGTTTAAACCCACGAGCACACCATGGTGCCGACAAACTTAGAAGCATAGGAAACAGGGATACCAACCACCGAACAATTGTGTCTGACAGGTATAAGGGACACAACTCGCACATCGAATTCAGTCACCTTAGACGAGGCCGTCCATGCTCAAGTATAATATGAGTAGCATTGAAGTGAACAGCTCGCTTATACCTGCGGATTATCAGCAAGCATTTATGTCACTATCATCCCAGCGGTGTGTTTTCCACCAGCGGTGTGTTTTCCACCAGCGGTGTGTTTTCCTCTCGGTGTACCCATCCACAGGTGTCTCTCCACTGGTGTAATCGTGTAATCAAGTCAGCCCGAGACAGAATGTATTGAAACTGCAACAAAAGACTCCTGATATAACTTCCGGGTTGATTATTGTATCGGGGCAGGTTGTGAATGTACTGAAAAGAGGTCAGTGCACAAACACGTTGTTCTTTTTTGGTCTTGAATTAACAAGAACTAATAACTCTGCCCTCGATAAACCTCACGAAACCATATTTATATAACGCGTTCATGTCAGTAGCGGAGGCGGTTGGATTACACCCTAAATCACCTGAAATCTTAAGTGTTGTCTGGCTATGGAGAGATTGTATCAGCAGTGAAGCCCGAAATCTGGAGTAATTGTCGTTTGTGTTAAACACGTTGTGAATGAGACAAGTGATGTTCCGTGTTTACATCACTGGCAAGGACGGCGTAGCCAAGAGGTGTAATCTCGGAGGGGATTACCAGCTGGTTGTCAAGGACTCCAGTCTGTGTCTGTGTGGGGTGAAGCTGCACCAGGTCATATATGAATGGCCGTACCCTGACATAAGATGTTACGGGTATACGGACAAGGCTTTTAATTTTGTAGCTGGTCGAGCTTCAACTTCTGGAGAAGGCATGATTTCTGTCAAGACAGGAGATGGCTTTGCAATAAACGAAGCAGTCAACGAGAAGGTTCAGCTCATGAAGAAAAACATGGATCTTCAGTCACGTGGAGGTACGGATCGCGTGTATGGTCCGTGTGATTGGTGTGATTGGTGTGATCTCTCTCTCTCTCTCTCTCTCTCTCTCTCTCTCTCTCTCTCTCTCTCTCTCTCTCTCTCTCTCTCTCTCTCTCTCTCTCTCTGTGTGTGTTTCTGTAATGAATGAGAGAACGAAACGACTGGGTCATGTTCACCTTATGTAACGACACAACTCGTGTTGTGGTGGTGGGTGTTCTGTATTGACTGTCCCCGGAGTAGGCTATTACATTTTTCCCCAGGGCATCCTGAATGATATAAACGTCACTTCATTTGATTATATTTATTTTTGATTCAGTGTGATACTTCAATATTCGCTGTGTTCTTTCCAGAAAACCCAACTCCTCCCGCAGATGGATCTGGAGATGACCGGCCTGAGTACACGGACCCGTACAGTGTGGAGACCCAATCTACAGACGAGGCTGGGATGTATGTGAACCAGTAACAGCGGGGAATGTTTCTGATTCTGCGGTAATTTATCAGTACATGTACGTGAAACATATATGTAATGTACATGTATCTTGTGAATACTTGGAACTAAACAGTGAACACTTGTCAGTATATGATAAATATATGTAACTGAATCGAGAACATATGGAGCTGAGGAGATTGACAAAGATATCTGAATGGTGGTGGAACATAACAATACATGGAACTAAACGGTGGATACATGCAGCTGAATGGTGAATACATGGAACTAAACGGTGGATACATGCAGCTGAATGGTGAATACATGGAACTAAACGGTGGATACATGCAGCTGAACAGTGAATACATGGAACTAAACGGTGGATACATGCAGCTGAATGGTGAATACATTGAACTAAACGGTGGATACATGCAGCTGAATGGTGAATACATGGAACTAAACGGTGAATACATGGAGCTGATCGATGAATACATGGAGCTGAACGGTGAATACCCAGCACTGAACACGGTGGGTATATATGGATCTAAACGGGGAATACTTGGAACTGAACGGTGATCTCATGATACTGAAAGGGGAATAAATGGAACTAAATGGTTATTACATGGAGCTAAAAGGGGAACACATGTGTCTTTATGCTGAGTACAAGGGTCTGTATAGTGAATACATCAACTAAACCTCTGTAAAAGATTTAAAAGACAACAGAAATACGTATCTCTAACCTCGTTAATTAAGTCCCTGAAGAGGTTACAAGTCGACGATGTCAAGACGATATCGAATGTATGCTGGAACGTTAATAGACTAAAAAGAAAACTTAATAAGTTTTAAAAAAATACATTATGTATCATCCTTTGATATATTTGGACTGTTAGAACTATGGGATAACTGTAAACTATCTGATATCGAAGACAAATTCCCAGATCACTTGATATACACTAATTACAGAGATTTTAATCACAGAGGTGGTGTAACTGTTGGACTTCGTCGTACATTACAACAGGGAAAACTTCGTGTCGTCACTAGGTATACAGATATGGTTTGCATCATTTTAGACAAGTCTGGTTTCCATCTTCAGAGGCATCTTCTATTGAACTATGTTTATGTTTATCCCAGCACCTCTTCAAGTTCTACTGAAATGAGATCATGTAAAGGTATGGACAAATATATGTTGAACAATGCTTAACAGAAATACTAATTGAATATCCAAACTTTGACGTCATACTTGAAGGGGACTTCAACGCGAGGACGGGTCATTTATTTGACTACATCATAGAAGACAACAACCGACACATTCCAAGTATTGAAGACATGGATCCCAGAATATGCATCTGACTCTTTCGACATTCCTAGAAAATCGAGAGATGATATAACTAACACATTCAGAGAAGATCTCATTAATTTGTGTTGCACTTTTGGTATACATATGCTGAATGGGAGATTTCCGGGAGATAAATGGGGATCATTTACTTGTTTTAAGGAGAATGGCTGTAGTTTAGTAGATTATGTATTACGTTCAACTAGCTTGTTTGCTAATATTGTTGATTTTAATGAGCACACTAGAGACGAGTCGGATCACTATATCATGTCCTTTAACTCCAAGCAGTGATACTGCTGACGACGGAGAGGGTTGCAACATTCCGCGATTTCATTGGAAGGAGGAGAGTAAACAGACATTTGTAGGATGTCTAAGCCATTTCTTACAAGATTTCAGTCTAGATCAGTGTTGTGACCTCCTGAACGCGAACATAGACTCGGCAGTAGACAAACTGACAACAACGTTAACTTTACAAACATGTGCAGTGACCAGTGGCTTACAGTCAAGGTACAACCCGTCATATAAACCAAAACCCAACTTGTTGTATGATGATAAATGTGAACAATTAAAAAAGAAGAAAATGTTAAATCTAAACGAATTCAGACTAACAGGAGATAGGGACCAGTTACGTGAATACTGTAGAGCGAGGAATAGCTATATGTCTATATGTAGAAAATAGAAAACTGAACTTGAAAATAGTGAAGTTAAATATCTTGTGAACTTGTGTTCTAAAAATGACAACAAAAAAAGTCACTGACAGGGTCTCAAAGCCAGTCTATCGCCATCATGTCAACACAGTGGACGGACTGTTTTATGAGTGTATGTAATATAACTGATATAGCTGTCGACGATGAGATAATTGAGGATGCTAAAACATTGTTTGACGTTATTGGCGGAATGGATTGTGTCGACTGTGATATCGATGTTGACATTGATCATGATGCTGACTGTATTTTAAATGGTGATATATCTCCAGAGGAGATTAAAACAGCAGTAAAAGACTTGAAGTGTGGGAAAGCTGCTGGGCCAGATGACATTAAGACTGAAATGATCATTTGCTGTATCCATTTCTTATCGCCTTATTTGGTGTTGATTTATAATCATGTTCTCAGCTCCGCTGTATATCCGCAGGAATGGGCGAAGGGAATTATAGTGTCCCTACATAGAAAGGGTAATGTAAATACAGTTGATAATTTTCGTGGTATTTCGCTCATGGCTGTTTTGGGTAACTTATATTGCATTGTCATTAATAATCGTCTTCAATTTTTGCAGACTGTTATGACAAGATTCCAGAGGCTCAAGCTGGATTTCGTAAAGGTTATAGTACGACAGATAATATTTTTACTTTACAATGTCTTGTTCAGAAATATCTTTCGAAAACCGGAGGTCGTTTTTATTGCTTATTTGTTGTTTTTCGAAAGGCCTTCGATTCAGTCAATAGAACATGATTGTGGTATTCGCTTTTTAAACAAGGTATTCGGGGTAGATTATTTTCAGTTTTAAGAAATATGTATTCTAAGATTTTGGCTTCTGTTCGTCTCAGTCATTCGTCGATCGGTGATTACTTCGAATCAGTGAGTGGTGTCCGGCAAGGTTGTGTTCTAAGTCCATTTCTTTTTGCGATGTTTATAACGGAATTTCAAGGTATGTTACACAATTTAGGTCTTAGGGGTATCTTTATTGGTTCAGATTATATGACATTTATTGTTATTGTTGTATACAGATCATCTTAATTTATTTGATGACACTTTTATAGGTTTGCAGAAGTTCCACATAAATATTGTAGCCCTTGGGGTTTAGAGGTAAATATGTATAAGACGGAGGTGCTAGTATTTCGTAATGGTGGTTTTTTTCGTTCATATAAGAAGTGGTTTTATAACGGTATTCCAGTTAAGACGTCAACATATTACAGTTATCTTAGTGTTCTATTTTCTACAAGATTGTTATATACCCTTGTTAGTAAAGCTAGTAAGGCCCTCTTTGCTTTAAAGTCTTTGTTTATAAAATATCCAAGTATATCTGTAAAGTTAATGTTCAAGTAGTTTGATAGTAAGGTTAAACCTGTGTTATTATATGGGTCTGAAATCTGGGGTTCGAGGAGAGGAAATCGGTTGAAATCTTTCACATGAACTTTTGCAAATATGTTCTTGGTGTAGGTAAGCAGGTTTCTAGTAATGGAGTTTCAGCAGATTGCGGTAGGTTAAATATGTATGTTGATTATCATGTCAGATGTAAATTTTGGTGTAAATTATTGAGGATGTCGGAGGATCGTTATCCAAAACAATTTTATTTACTCATGAGGAAATTAGATTTAGCTGGTAGAGTAACGTGGGCTACTTCTGTTAAATATTTGTTAAGTTCCTATGGGTTTGGTTTTGTTTGGTACAGTCAGGATGTTGGCGATATTTCTCAGTTTATATATAGTTTTAAGAATAGACTAATTGATTATGATAAACAGCATATTTTTAGTAATATAAATCAATCTTCGCATTTGATGTACTTTAAAGAAATTAAGTCACTTTTAAATGTTGAATATTATGTAAATTTCATCAACCAAGTAACTGTTAGAAGAAATATTTGCCTTCTCAGATTAAACTCCCTTCCTTTACGGTGTAATATAAGAGGTGTGAATGTCGATACGTATTGTAGAATGTGTGAAGATGTGGTGAATAAAAATGTTTTACATTTTTTGTTTGAGTGTACTGCTTACAATGTAATAAAAGATAGGTATGTTCCTGTAAATAGTCAGTTAATAGTCAATTTAGTCGCTAATTATCATAATATATTAACTAGTAATTGTAGATATACCCTTGTAAATTGTTCTAATTACATCAAAGAAGCTCTTGCTTGTAGATAAATGTTACAAAATTAACCATTTAATTAAATTTATTTGTACAGTTTCTCCTATTCCTCGAAAATGTACTCTTATTTGCACGTATTGTACATGAGCCGATGGCCTACAAACCGAAATAAAAGAAGAATATATACGAATCGAGCAGGGCATGGATCTGTCCCCTCGTGTCTCAAAGAGCTTGCAGTGCAGTATGTCCCAGCAAGAACGCCTCGGCGAAATCAACAATGCCTACTGGAGGTTCCGAAAAGAAAGTATAGGATTTCCTGCTCCAATGAATCTGGAACTCACTCACTCACTCCGTAGTGAAATCACTGCCAACAGTTCATTCCTCCACATCTTTGCATAAAACACATCTTACCCTTGAAGGTCCGGGTTAGAAGTGGCTTTCAGCAATCCATGCATTCTTGTCGTGAGGGGCGACTTTGTAATAGGCGACTAACGGGATCGGGTGCTTAGACTCTCTGACTTGGTTGACACATGTCATCGTATTACCCATTGCATAGACAGATGCTCATGCTGTTGATCACTGGATTGTCTGATCCAGCGCTATTCCCACTGACAGTAGTTACAAGCACAGCCCAGTGATACGAAACTATATATTAAAACAAAAAGTAATCACTCCTGCTTTGTCTGCTTTGTTTATCGCTATACAGGCTCATATTACGATACTTTGTGTTGTTCTGTGGCGCGAGATTATGGCCTTATTTATTGCATATATGTTTTTGTTTCACATTTTATTAAAAGTGTTCGAACCCCATGAATCCTGTGGTCTTTAGTCACATTTTTAGTAGATTCCCCAGTTTCCATGCGAATAGTAGCGTTGTTTACATGTGCTTCAGTCAGTCGCAGCATGTGAAAGACAGGTAAACGTTGACCCTACAATAGAGCTAAAAGGGCACGTCCAGGACGTCTAGTGCGTTTTGGGTACTTCTCAGGTTTGTGATCTGTATTGTGACTCGTGTTGTGGCGTCTGACTCAATAGCGATATTTCAGAACCACTGAATTACGTTATA